TCTGAAATTGGTTCTTAAAAAAGTGAGAGTACTAATCTAAATTGTCAGACTAAATTATGTATAATTTGTGAACTTCAAAAATCACAACGTCTTACATAATTTTCGTATAAATATACACATGTAGTCTTAATATTTTAGATAAGTTGCGAATATACAAAGTATTTCATTAGTGGAAGACAAAAGTACACTGTATATATATGTAGATATGTACTGTTGGTCAAAATTGCATATTTAATTATTAACATTTGTATTCAATGTAAAATGAAATCTTAAATATCTGCACATTTGACAAAAGCCAAATGAATACAGACTTGATTATTTTATAATCTCAGTACAGAGTACTAAAAAAACCGACCTCAAAAGTACGTGTAATTACATACAATTACCATGTTTTATTGAAATCGGTTACCGGGTTAGTTCGCCACTAAAATACAATAAAAATCGGTTCTCACTCACTCGAGAGAGAAAAACGACTTGAATTGGAGAATAGCAAAATCAACCATTAAATTAATTGCTGATTATAATAAAATTTAGGCGCTATTTATAAAAATGAATCTTCATGCGTGAACAGCCACCCTTAGAGGTGGATGATTTGGATGATTTTTTTCACATCGCGTAACATACATACAAAAAAAACATACAGTCGAATTGAGAACCTCCCCTTTTTTAAAGTCGGTTAAAATATTAAACTGGTTACAGACGAATTTTAGTTTATTTAATAGTCCACCTTAATCAATAAAGGCACGAAAGATATTTGTGGTTAATTCAATCGCAAAGGTCATTTTGATTTCGACTGTACCAGAACAGTCTTGTGGTTTTCTAATTTGTTGCAAGAAGCCCCACAAGCACTTCGATAAACAAAAAACGGAATCAGGCTTAGACATCTAAGGGCGCGTTCCCATTACGTCGTAACGTTATATTTATAGTTGGTGGACGACTGTTGTATATAGCTGTTCCCACTAGATCGTGACGACAATTTAACAGTTCACGGCAGCCGCCTTGTCGTTTGCACGATAGAATCGTTTGAAGTTGCGATTATCTGCCGTCTCATTATTTTATCGTGACATTTTATATATCGTAGGACGACAGTCGTTCTAGCTGCCGATTGTCACGACAGTCTGTCGTCGTAATGTCAAAAAGTGAACTATGTGGTGGAAAAAGATGTTTGTACCGTTGTACGCGGAGAACAAAGCAGAGAACAAATAAGTAATGAAAACGGACACTCTCCGCCCCTCTCTAGCTTTAGATACCACACCACGCCCCGCACATTGACTGAACGATTACAAGGCTGTCGGCGAGCCGATTTCGCGCTACGACGGCTTTGATGTTTGAATACAGTTTTCATTTATTCATTACGAAACTTGTACGTTAATATATATAACATCATTTTACGTTACTATTTATAATAGTCGTGAGTTGTGCTGTGTACGGCTGTTTATAATAATCTAAACGGGATAAAGAGAGGAGTTTCTTTCGTTTTTTGAAAGATGAAATGAAGTAAGTAAAAAAATTTATGTCTGGGACTCATTCACTTATTGTTTTCTTTAGTGTAGAGTAATATATAATACAGATTTATTATATCAATATAATAAGACGCCATAACTTCGTGTGCTAGACAAGGGTTATCGAATTTTCAATTTGTATTGCCGATAAATATTACGTAGTGAATATACCTAATTATTATAATGATAAAGTTGGACACGCAATTTCAAATACTCTGGTTACCTTATTTAAAGGTACTTGTCCAAAATATAACATTTTAAGTGCTTTTAATACATTTTTTAAAGAAATCTTCAATATTATTCTAGTTAGTGTATTAATAAAAAATATAATATTATATCGATATAAATACGTAATGAACATGTGTGATTATTAGGATTGTATAATAGAATTATAGATAACAAATTCGTGTTAGAATTTTCGCTATGTTGCCGCTCTGACCACGTAGCAATAGTACGAGCAAGTGATGGGTAGGTAACCCTGCCACTTCACGCACACATTCGTGCGTGTGCAGATAGCGCCTTGTTGTATGTAGTAGTAGTAGTAGGTAAATAATTTTCGACCGTTGTATGAAGTGTCCGAGGTGTGACCAAAGCAAAGAATCAAATATTAGATTACCAGAATGTGGAAAATATGAAAGAGTGATCAAGGGCCTGCAAAAATTATAATATATGGAGGGGATATTTGTGCACTTTTATGAGGTACAACCCTGGACAATTTTCGCCGGATGTAAAAAATGTTCGAAATTCAAATAAACAAGATGGCCGCCATACAAATTTCAAAGTCTTCTATCACGACTGTTATACAAGCGGTTAACTGCCTGTGTCAAAAAAATTCAAGATGGCGAATTCAAAATGGCGGCCGAAGAGAAAACTTGCTTCGATCCGGCTGGAAATTAGTATGCGGGGGTCTTTAAGAGGCCTTAATCACAATTTAGGGTTAAAAGTTTTTTTCGCTATTTTTAATATGGCTGCCATATAAGAGTTATATTCGTTAAAAATAGCTGACGAAAAAGAATTGCTCTGATTCGGCTAAAAATTGGCATGTGACCTCCACATGGAGAACACTAGGAGTGCCGAATAAAAATTTGTAGTCAAAATTGGTTTATCGCCATTTTCAAATAAGGCCGCCGTACAAGCGTTTGTTGGCGGCAGATAAAAATTGCTCTGATTCCTTCAAAAATTGACATGTGAAAGCCTCTCAGGAGTGCCTGATAATAAATTGTAATCAATATTAGGTTTTCGTCTTCTTTCAATATGGCCGCCATACAAGCGTTCTTTGGCGGCAGATGAAAAATCGCCATTCGCCATTCGATTGAAAATCGCCATGGGTGTTTGATAATAATTTATGATCCAAACTTATTTTTCGTTATTTTTCAATATAGCTGCCATACAAGCGTTTATAAAAATTTGCTCTAATTCCACTGAAAATCGTCATGTGGTCTCTATACATGTTTGATAATAATTTGCAGTCAACATTTATTTTTCGCCATTTTTCAATATGGCTGCCATATAAACATTATTGGCGGTAGATAAAAATTTCTTCTAATTCGACTAAAAATGGCATGGGCTTCAATCATAATTTGGGGTAAAAATATTTCTTTCCGCCGTTTTTCGATAAAGCCGCCATACAAGCGTTCTGCTTTTTTATGTATATGGCGGTTGAAAAAACTTGCTTTGCTCGAGCTGAAAATTGGCACGAACATTTCTAGGATTGTCTGATAATAATTAGTGGTTAAAATATATTTTTTAATGTGGTCGCCATTAAAGAGCTATTTTATTTTTTTTAAAACAAAGTCATAAGAGCCGAGGCTGTAGGCCGAAACCGCGGAGGGCGAAGCCCGAAGCGTGCGCACGCCATCATAGGGAGGTAATATACGGAGGTATAATAAATTATGAGTACAAGATCTCTCAATTGTATAAATGTAAGGCATACTTCCCAATGTATTGGAAGTGATATACTTATAATAGCGTTGTTGTATCTCAATTGTCTCTCGAAAAAATGCCAAACTTCTGCCGAATTTCCTGTACTATGAATACCAGAATAACGATAACTTTGAGGGCAATACCCAGAATACTCAGGCCAAAACCAACTTAGAAATGTTCGTTTCTTCAATTGGTCCAAATCGGAAATCATCAAGCACCCATAGTACTAACTGCTGTACCACCGACGAGCATGAGCACTCCCCGTAATCTGAACCCGGACACGCGCCGCAGACCGAGCCCGACCCTACCGTAGGTGGGGTACAGGGCTCGTTTAAATATACAAGCCACGACGCTTTTAACTGCACGACTAAGGTACTTAGGTGGAAAGGATACAGAGTGAACAGACGGCTACCATGGCAGAAAGGGTAACCACGGCGGAAAGCTAAAGGGACCCGTCCTGACGTTTTAAGGCAACCAGCGTTCATACCTTTCATGAAAGGAATAACGAACAAAATCGGTACAGTATTAAAAAAGTACTATATAAAAACTGTGTTTACGCCGTTATCTAAGGTCGCGGGGCATGTAAGATCACCTAAGAATGTAATCCCCTTTCAATTTCCGGGCATTTACAAGGTTGATTGCAGTTGTGGAAGTATATATGTAATAATGTAATAAGTATTATTATTTTTAGGGAGTAGTCCTATATTGGGCAGATAAAACGCACCATAGCGGAAAGAGTCAAAGAACACATCGCGGCTGTTAAGAACCGTCTGTTCTCTAAGTCTGCAATAGCCGAACATTTGCTGGAATCAGGACCAAACCACTGTATTGAGCTTCATAATCCCAACATCCTTTCTATAGAACGTCATCACTATAGTAGAATCGTACATGAAGCTATTGAAAAAAAAACACTGTAATTTCAACCGAGAAGACGATTTTAAGTTTTAATCGTCATGGGATCCAGTTATCACTAAATGTAAACGACATCAAGTATCGTCCGACAAGTCGCCAGAGGTCGTGAGTGTTGTGTCGGTCTAGTGACAACCCTAGTGCACAAATAAACAACGAAGATCAAGTGCGGGTAGTTAGAAAAACGCACGGCTAGAAGATGCTCACACCCGCCTCTTCAGGCCCTTCGAGACAATACGTCCGATACGTCGAGCCAATTAAAATATTATGTTTTATACTTGACTAAGTCCTGAATTAAAAATCAAATAATGTTAATGTTTTGTAAAAAAACATGGAACAAAAGTTGTTGTTTATGATGTTAGTAATATACTCCGGAGAGGCTGTTAGTATTTAACAAATACCTCTGTATAAATTGGAACTTAGGAGAAGTGACTACATTGTAGCTAGTAACAAATTAACTTTCCATCGAAAATATCATTATTTTCTTTCTAGTGAATTCGATCGAGGTGAAGAGCATATTGCTCTTCTCATAATACGTAACATATTATGTAGAATGAAGAATTTGGATTTACACAGATAACAAGTTAAACAATAACTTAGTTTAGCTTAATATATATATTATAATATAACTAATATATATTATATTGCGAGTTATTTACTAGTACTTTTTCGCTTTGTTTTTCTGTTTCCATTTTCTTATGTTTATAACATTTCTAATAATCTTGAGACGCATGAATGTTATGCACGTGTTGCTGTTTATATTGTAATATTCTAAAAACACTATGTAATGAATTATGAATATTATAATAGATGCAAGTGGTATCAGCAAACGTGGAACGCAAAGCGTGACGTGATGTTTAATACTAAAATACTAGGGTCCATTCAAACAACTTCCGTGATCAAGAAAGAAATTGACTTTTATCAGGTGGAATTTTGCTGGCGGCAAACATAGGTTTAACCAAAAGCCCAACAAACTATGGCATACAGCTGCCGAATTAATATTCGAATATTTGTCTATATTTTGGACAGATAGGTAGTAGCGTAACAATAAAGTAGAAAGACTAGCAGTAATTTAGAGGCCTCCAGCACGAGGAGCCCCGATAGGTAACTTAGGCTGCTAACAGATTAATTGCATGTTTGGAAGAGCTTATTAAAAGTAATACAAACAATTTATAGATTGTGTTACTACCATATCTATTCAAGCAGAACCCAAGTTTTAGGTACGTCGCGTTTTACGTTCCACTCTACTGACTGCTACCGAATTTACTAAAAATCCTCTAATGGCTTGGTATAAGCGATAAATGCACCAGCAGAGACGATAGTTCCAATTCTTCCGAAAACCCATTATTAAGTATGACGCTACGGTACCCAGTACGTAAACATTTGAAGGGGTACGTAGCTTGACCGATGAAATTCGGGTCACCAAACATATCTTCGTCCTGCACCAAGAAACGGATGAGAGCCAAATCCGGATTCGCCACCTCGAACTCGCATATGTCGTTCCAAATCGGGTTGATGCCGTTGTCAGCTGTGGAGACAATATATTTATGTTGAAAACGATTTTGATCTGCGTAGTCTTGTGACGATGAACAAAAACTTGAAACCTTCATGTCCAAAAAAGCTCTCATGTGTCTTATAGAGTTTACGTTAATGATCCAGTCTCGAAATATTTTCAGGGAATTCTGAAAATGACTATCCTTGCAAAAACAAACGACTATCATTGCAAAAAGAAAGAAATATTCCTGCTAGCAATTTCAGTGAAATATTTTGAGCAACAACAAACGCCAACATTATTTACATATTTTTGTGCGGTTCAAGTTGCGCTTTGATCGTTTTCACAAAACACAGTCATGCCTTCCGCACTAAAGAATAAATAAGTTTAAAAAGTACAAGTATTTTAATAATTTGAATATAAAGCAAACTTACCAACAGTCTTGGTGACCAACTTGACACCGCTATCGTAATCCGCCCCGATGATTTCTACCTCCACAAACGGGCTAGCTGTTCCCCTGCCAGATTTACACAGGTGCCGAGCACCGACAACTCTCAACATGACGGTCACAGGGTTCACTTTCTTCTCTATGGTCTTCTTGTCGTAAGGATTGTATCCCTCATCAAACAAAAAGTCAGGTTTTAGAATGAACCCACACCCTCCGTTTTCCTTGAACTTGCCCATATTTATCTGCATGGGCTTGTCTGCGGTCTGGTAGTTCAAAGCAACCATTTGGGAACCAGAATTCCAGAAAGGGACGGGGTTGTAGTTGGAAGAATCTATTCTCTGCCCCTTGGGGTAAATCCGACTTAGTTGGACAGTATGGTACTTGAGAAAGAACGCATTCTCTTGCTGACATATCAACCGTTCTGCTTTTGTTTCCGGAAAGGACGACATCTCGTTGAAGATGAAGCCTTTATTGCGCAATCGATCTTGGTTGAATGCGACAGAGCGGCAATATACGATGAGGTCGGACATTTCTTTGGCTATGCGGAAGTTGCGCTCCATTTTGCGGTGTTGAAGGGAGCGAGCGCTAGCGCTGTGAGCCGCCTCCTTGATGGCAGATAGCCACTCGATCGCTATTTCCCTAGTCGGCGCTGCCATGTCAAACGGGGCGCACATCGAAGGCCCCTGGATGCGAACCAGCCACCTCGCAGACCCGCTCTCTTCACCAACGACAAGCTCGACAACGGCGCCTAAAACGTCAACCACGCCTTTCTGCAGCGATCCTAACGCCGCGGACTCGTTCTCGAGACAATTCTGCAATGCATTCCATTAGATATAAAATCGCATAATACACATTATTCATAATGATTATGGAAATTGCACCCAATGTAATATAGCATTTTTTTTTATCTAATTAAGTTTATTTTAAAAAGAACAAATATACAACGCTTCAGCAGTCAAAATAGATTTGTCGAAAATTCAATATGCTACTCATTTATTTATGTATAATCAACGTAAACGCTAAGTAAAAATAACTGTGTATAAGTTGTACTCAGATATGCTGCAAATACCTGCTGCCAATGAGCAATGTAATAAGTTCTCATTATTAGAGTTTTGAAAACTTTACTATCATATCTTTATTTCGATTTACAAAAAAGTAATGCATAACAATATTAAAAGTGCACAATGCAATGGCATTATTAAATTTCAAGTAAAATTATATGTAAGAGCGGTTACACAAGGCGATTTTAAGCAGCGATGCAAACGCGATGAAAGCGCGCGATGCAGTCATTCGGCGTGTGTACCCACTCTATATTATACATATTTCAAATCAGTGTTGAAAATGAAATAAATTAAATATTTTATGCAATTGCATGCGACAAAATGACATGCCGTGAATATAAAGAGAAAAAGTAACCCAAAAGAAACCATTTTCATGTAATTTACACTGCCCGTGACCCTGTTTTACTATTTTAGAAAATAAATCAATATGTATATCCAGGTATTATGCACTACAAATTAGTACAAGATAATTAGTTATGGACTAATGACAATGAATCTTCATGGAACATTAATGCCCTAATCACCGACATCGGGGGCACTAAAGCGACCAGCGACTTTAGAATGTTCTTGCGGCAATGTCAAAATTAAACGAGCTTCACACAACGAGCACGGTGTGACACCGTTTCCATACAAACATGGCCGCGGTGAATAGTGTTCATTTAACATTGTGGTGTATGATTCTCGCTACACTTCTATGGATATAATTTTGGCATGGTTCTTAAACAATCCCGTTAGGCTTAAATTAAACTTGATTGCTTTTAGGTTTCACAAGGTTTATAACAAATTGCAACAACGCGCAGAATAAAACGGCACATACTTAAGACTAGCATTCAAAGTAACTGATTATAAATCATCATAATATTATATTTAATTAAGAGTGGTGTAACTCAATAGCTTGCCCTCTGGGGAAACGTCGATGTAACACAATTCGCTGTAATATTTTCACGCAATAAATGTATTTATTACCACCCCCAACTTAATACATGCGCTTAATCATCATTAATTTTATCAAACCTCATTAATATTTTTTTTATGATCCAAAGTGACGGGATGCATAAGTCGTGCGCCTACTGTTAAGCGACACGTCTGTGCACAGCAGTTGCAGTGCCACTTATAGTTTTAAATTGAAAAGATCTAAGGGACACTACCACTGAGTCTGTCACCCTTAGACATAAGTTGAAAGTTTCATATGCCTGTAATTTCACCAACACCATTCAAAACCGGAACGCAGTAATGCTCACATTACTGTTTGGTGGCAGAAATAGGTAAGGTGGCAGTACATCCCTGGACGAACTCTTTGACAAGGCTGCTACTAACTACTGCTACTAATATTATTATATTAATATAATTGTTCAAAATGATATTTTTTTAATGTTTGATACATATATTAACTGGTTCGTCTATATTAGTTGAAAAATTATATTTTTTTTTTATATTTGATCCTCTTTTAAACGACTTCAAAAAAAGGAGGAGGTTCGCAATTCGACTGTATGTTTTTTTTTATTGATCTTTTCTTTTAACGATTGACGACATTTATAACCAGTATATCTTTTGAAGTTGATCTCCTAATAAATCTTGCCTGCTTGGTTGCGCCCGCCATTCAGTAAGTTAGGTTAGGTTAGATTATGAAAAAGCAAAAGCCAGAAGTCAATTTGTTTGCGTTTACGAACATGTTTTCAGGTCAAATTACATTGTAATTAATATAATATTAGTATTAGTTTTAAAAACAAGTTTCTAAATTTTATTTTTAATGCTCATTTGTCTTAATCTTGAGGCCCAACATAAAACTATCAAAGTTAATAGAAATCAATCATTTCATGCGTAGTTCAGATTAAAATATCGATTGTAGTAATATATTTTATGTCTCAGAAAAAAAGAATCATTAAACAAGATGACCGTTTAGATTTGTTGCCTGCTGCTTTTGCAAATTTAAAAACATCCCAAACAAAATCTTCATTTGTAATAGTGATGTTGTTGTTACCAATCATCTGCAAAAGTACAATTCTGATACGAAAATTTAATAATATTCCAGTAGTTCGTAAAAATATTTCTAAATTAGGAATGATAATTAGCCTAACATGTTTTATTTTTATTTTATGTATTTTTACAAAAAGGTTCGCCAACAGCAAAACATATAACAATTCACATAACACATTACAAAAAGTAGTATCAATATAAATATGCTGTTGATGGTTTGGTATTTTAGCTGACTTAAGAATATCGTCCAACTTGCCAAACGCGGCCCACCCAACATGAATTCTTCTGGTGATCTCCTTCATTTGATGCTCATTGCCAAAAGATAAAATATGTCCGAGATAAACGTATTGATCGACAATCTCCAACATATCACTTTCAACTGTGACACATGGATTTGTGACGTTGGAGATGTTCGCCATAACCTTAGTCTTGGACATATTCATCTTGAGGCCCACCCACATAGAAGCATCATACAGTTGTTGCAGCATACGCTGGAGATCGTTAAAGTTTTCACCGAAGAGTACTAGGTCGTCTGCAAACTGTAAGTGGGCCAGGAAGGCTCCATTGATGTTAACGCTACATTTCGTCCAATCAAGTGTTTTTACTACGTCTTCTAAATAAGTAAACAGTTTTGGCGAATTTATGTCTCTCTGCCGCACTCCTTCTTTGATTGGTACAGGGTTGGTTGGTTCATGCATTCGAACCTGTAGAGTTGCTGATGAGTACAGCTCCCGAAGTACATCTATGTAGCGATAATCGATGTTACAGCGATAGAGAGCGTGAAACACGGCCGAATGTTCGACACTGTCGAAGGCCTTTTCATAATCAACGAAGGCCATGGCAAGGGGTCTGCTGTACTCCATCAACTGCTTCACCGTGTGGATGTGGTCTATGGTGGAGAAGCCACTTCGAAAGCCGGCCTGTTGGATAGGCTGCCATTCATCAAGTTGACGCGTGATGCGATTTGTTAATTTTGAAAACCGTTTGTAAATCTCAATTTGGCAATATCCCCTTTTTGTGTAAAATTGTGACTAACGCGTTCTTCCATTGTCTTGTTTAATTAATTACTTACTACAAAACATATTAAAGGACAGAAAATAATTAATAAGTCGTATATAAATTCCCGAACGAAACATAAAAATTGATAGATTACCTATTCACTAATCATCAATTCATCAAAAAAATTTATACAAGAGCCCACCTTAATGTTAGAATTAATGCTCTATATCTCTGCGTCCTCAACCGCTCTCAAAATTACATTTATACACCATACACACACACACACACACACCCGTATACATAACATAACAACACAATACATGCATGCAACACATTAACATTTTAGTACCATTAGTCGCAGTGCACAAGCTCTTTTACTTTGAAACTTACCGACAGATCGGGAAGGTTATGTTCGATCTCTTGCACGTAGTTTGCTGGGAACCAATGCTGTCGTTTGCCGCCGTAGTCTCCTCTCCACCACCCTGCGTCTGGTTTGTCGACGTTGGTGATGATCGCGTGCTTACAGAATGAAAGCTCGTCGTCTTGGCGCGCTCTGTAGTCGTACAATGCCTTTACTGTAACCTGAACATGATAATACAGACATCAATAATAACACAAGTCATGATAAATAGTACAAATCGTGTTAAATTACGGATGTGTTCTGTGTTAACACTTCTTCATTTTGTACTAGCGTCTAGTTCAACAAGGAGTGACGATGCGACCTCTTTCATTTTCATCCCACCTATTTATCACCCTTTTCTCTGGTTCCTGGCCACCTACTTTGAAATTTTGAATCGTTCTTAAATTCCTTTTCTTCTTCGCCTTTACTTTTCTTTTTTCCATCGCCACTCTCTACTAAATTTCCGCAGCGAGCACACGTGCTCGACTGGACATAAAATTCTGACCAGTTAAATCATGTAACCTACCTGCTTGTAAAGTATTATATTTGTTGTACCATTGAAAATCACGTAATTGAACTTCTTATAAAGCATGGTATTCCTAGAAATGCAATACAGGCCCTTTTGGGGTAAAGTTCCTTTATTAGTATAACCTGCATTTATTTCAATAGGGAATGTTTTTATACGATTGTACCTGTTTTTATATCATTATGTTTTCCTTTTCCCTTCCTGTACCCTGTATTTCTACAATAAAATTCATATGGACTGAGCCTTCTATTTAACTACGCGAGGCCCGCGTGACAAAGGTAATTATGCCAGAAAATGTTTTTTCACTACATAAATGAATCATCCTACGAAACAAGAACGCTTAATGCTATAAAACTATACGCAAATTGCTTTAGACAGCTTTCCTCTACATTTGCTAAACCAAAATTAATAACTAAACTCACTATTGGCTTCAAGAAAAGCTACGCCGCGCCCAACGAATAAAATCGCAGGTAGCGCCTGGGCAGCGGTCAAAAATATTAAGCGCACGTTTACTGAACATTTACTTACAAGTTAGCTGTCATAATGCAAATCACAAAATGTTTACTGAATATTAAAGCCTACTGTATGGTGAAACCAAGCCAGTCGCTACGTGGTGTTAGTGGTCGCACGGAGCTCATACGAAAAGAGGTCTAAGTGAAGCATAAGCAAACATTAAAAAAACTATTATGTACGAATCACACTAGACAAGTGCGGAAAGATGTATACGTATCACCTTTGTACGAGTTCATTAATGTTCAAAGCGCGCGCGGGATCCTTTCCAAACCACGTAGTCTTTCGAAAACCGATAACGTCGTCGCGTCGCAATCGGTCTATTCTATTCATGCCGGGCCTATTCTATTAATGCCGTGTAGTGTTCGCAACTCTCGAGCGCAAGCGTTAGCAAAATGGCGTAGTCTAGTGAACTCCGCAGAATGCTCGAATAGCAGCGGTTCGAGTATTCGAGACATGCGAAAACTCGCATTATTGTGTGATTTGTACAAGATGTTTATTCGGGTGTGATTTGTACATGATGTGTATTAGTACATATTTATAAAACATATATCTATCATAATATTCTAAATGTAAATATATACTTTTTATTTTGTAAAATCCAGGAGATTTTCTAACTATATTAAATGCATAACACGTAACGTGGAGGTGAAATATCTGCACAAAATACACTCTATCTACATACATTTGTTTACTGAAAAAAATACTCAAAATGCACATGACAACGGAAGGCACCTAGCACTCTGATAAAGTAAAAAATCACGATTATTGCAATGACAAATATAAACATACGAACAATAAAAACTTAAAATGTAAAAAGTGTCAACCACAAAGAAAGGTCACATCACTCTAATACTAATATATTATAGTTGTTTCTCACCACAGTCATTTACCAAATCCATTATACTAGAAAGCGCTAGTGCAATCTTCGAAAGAAATAAAACAAACGTCAATATAAGAGGGACAAAATGGAGGAGACAAAATGTAACTTAAGTGTATCTTCGGTATAATTTCTATTTATCACACACACGTTTCCTATTTGTCATTATTTTATCATAAGAGTACTTTCAGATGTCAGCCACTGACTTCACTTCCTCTACTAATATTTGACTGTCAAATAAAATTGGAGACAATTTCGTTTCATATATTACTATATATAATTAACATTGTATTAGTTTAGACAGATCAGTTTTAATAGAAATATTTAAAGTCGTGTGTGGTAGCCAGACCCGGAAAAGGCTTTAGCCACATGGCCTTCACCCAAGTACCACAAATAATACACAATAGATACGCATGTGCAGCATATAACAAAATTAACTACTTTCAAGTCAATAACCGAAAATCTTAACTAAAAATTTATAATATAAATTTTTCATAAAAGTTTATTATAAATTTCAAGAGAGGAGATTGATAGAGAGACATCAGCTTTGCATACTACTGGTTTACATACCGAAGATCGGAAAGAAGTCGGATCCATATAACCTGGGGTGCCATACACGGAGTTGTCGTCGGGTTCCTGAAGAAAAAAAAAGTTATGTTAAGTGTGGTACTTGACAAAATATTTATAACATTTTTATAAAAAAAACGACCTCAAAAGTTCGTGGAATGGAATGGATCTATTTTGCCAAGTTTTATTGAAATCGGTTACCGGAAAGTGCGCGAAACCGGATGAATTCCCTAGTTTGCCGCACTTAGAGGTGGAATATTTTCATCAAATTTAAATGGGACCAATACTGAGGTACCGTCTTTCCAACAAAAAAGAATCATGAAAATCGGTACACATAAAAAATATAGCAGATTTGAGAATCTCTTCCTTTTTTGAAGTCGGTTAAAAAAACGAAACGCTACTTGACTGCTAAGTTTTATCATTTTATAGTTCAACATGATTTAACTTATGAAATTGTCAAGACAAAAGTCACGAAAAAATTTTTTTTAATTCTTTTTTTCCTTTGCTATGTTCGGATTTATATTTGTTTATTTATCCTCCTGAGGCCAGAGTTTAAAAAAAGCATGTGTCGTTATGACCGAATGTTCTTTCACTAGCACACAATTTGTACTACCTGTGAGTCCAGAACACTGAGGAACATTTTTCTCTGGAACAAAAGTTTTTTATAAATATGAAAGGAAAATTATTCAAAATGCCCATATATTTGTTCTTTCTAAGGTACACCAGGTCTTAATATAATCACGAAGAAATAGAATTAGAAATCTATTTTAGTAGAAAACAGTTGTATTTTTCAGTCTTACAAGGTAAATATTTCACGAGAGGGTATATAAATAATATAGCAATACCGTAAGAAAACGAATTTAATCAATAACCATCAAAAATAGCGAAAATTACTACAAAACAATATTATATATGTATATTTATTTATTTATATTTTAACATCAAAAGGCACTTCGAAGTAATATCGCAAGGATTTTACTCAAAATATCTAAAATTAAAAAGTTTTAATAGCCGTGATATTTATTAAGTTAATATTGACGAAGAAACAAACAATCTAAAAAAAAAATAATAGAAACATCAACCTCTAACTAAACAAATGTTTATGAAACTTAATAAAACTTTGCGAGTAGGGGGCAAGGTATACTCAATTTCTGACTCACTACTGGTTGTATCCAGTGTTGGGCAAAATTTGATTGTTCTGGCAATTAAACATTGACAATTAATTAATTATCAATTACGAAACAGCAATTAACGATTGATCAATTGTTAGTTGCGAGAACCGCAATTAACAATTAATTAATTGTCAATTGCGAAACAGCAACTAACAATTGATCAATCGTTAATCGCGTATATCTACAATTAACAAGTAATCAATTTTCAATCTTTTCAATGTTTTTGATTAACAATGAATAATTAAAACTGACAATTATGATAAATTTATAGGGTATATGGGAGTGGGTTAGGGCCGGGGTAAGGGTGGGACAGGGGAAAAAAATATGGGTTGGGTGAGTTGGGGGTGAGTTAGTTTGGGTTGTGGCGATTAGGGGTGGGGTCACTCACCCCTGACCGCCCCCCAACCGGCTCCACAACCGGCCCCCCAAACGGACCCCAACCGGCCCCTAACCGGCCCCCCTACCTAATCAATTGCAATTGATTTCAATTGAATTGATTTTTTTATTTGATTGAATTTCTGACTGAAATTTAATTGATTAACGCCCAACACTGGTTGCATCACATTCTTCTCCGTCGTCTCTCAAATCGTCGATATCAAGTTCTTCCTGTGTGGGATCCTCATCATCGTCTGGATCTTCTACTTCAGATGCATTTGAAATCTGATTGATTTCGTAATCTTGTACATCAGTATTGGTCCCATTTAAATTTGAAGAAAATATTTCACTTCTACGGGTGGCAAACTAGGGGATGAAACACGCACTTTCCGTTAGCCGAATTCAATAAAACTTTGCAAATAGATGGAATTCCAATAAAAAAGCCGACAAGCAAACCTATGAGATCTTTTTTTAAATAAAATAGTAATAATTATAAATATAATTTATTATTATCTATTTTAGAAAGGACAGTATAACAAAATAGTGACCGGAAATGATTCGTGCAGAACAAATTAATGAAGTGATTAACTAGATAATAACTGGACATACTTTACAAAAAACAAATTCATAATCTACGTTTTTACTGACATTGCACTGTGTGTTCCGTGAAAATAATACAACAATATGATAAAACACATATTTGGTAGTATAAAAACAAAATAATATTTTAAAATAAATAAAAAATTGATTTATGATTCATTGATTTATTTATCTTGTTTACGGCGAGCCGCCGTTGTCACCTGCTCGTGGCCGAATAATTATTCAAACATGGCGGTTTATTTACTCATTTTTGATTTTTATGAGAAATACAGACGTATAAGCTTTCTTAATATTTTTTCCTGTTCTAATATTATGATTGTGGTTACTTTTTTCTACATAAACTAATTAGTCCTCTTAAAAGAACACTCGATCATAATGGCAACATAGAGTTTATAACAATCAGGGCTTAATGATCATCGCCATTTTGTTCTTAAAGAAGTACGCGAGGACTCAAGAGGATATAAACATAAAATATTAAAATATATGGTACGTATATTATATCACATAAAACTTACAGTAATAATCTTTCGAACAATGTCCTCGCTGATCGGAAACTCCAGCTTCACCTTCTTGTACAGTGGGTTCTTTTCGTAGTAAGAGACGAGTTCGACCAAGCTCTCAAACTTGACTGTGCCAATGGTGTACAATCTGCCTTCCAGCTTTATTCGGCAATGTTTTATCTCACGCTGAGTTCTGAAAATTTTTAATAGTTTATAGTACGAAGGATCTCATAATTAAGAATTAAAATTCGGAAAACACTGAGTGAATTTTAAAAGAACTCAACGTGTCAAAATTTTAAAGTAACTGTTAAAACTTAAGAGATACGAATAATATACATTTTCAGATACAAACATTGAAAATAAAAACCTGTACGATAAAATAATAGCAAATCACATAAAACACTACCAACTATCGAGATGCGTGTTTCTGGTTTTGCTGTACAAAGGGATATGTTAAAATGCGAACTTTCTTGAATACGAATTGCGAGCAGCAGGCAGATCTGCATCGCTAAAGCATCGTTCAAATGGCGCCATTTTACTTTAAACAAAACGACACGTGTTATTATCAGCATCAGAATGATCGAGTGATCACCATTGTTCATAAATATTAAAACATTTCATAAAATCAACCTTATCTGTGTTATAGAAGTTAAATGTTGAAATTGCCGTTCTATATAGGAAAATTGTGAAAATATGTAATGCTTTACCCTCTGATAAAAGATATAAATAATAATCACTTATTTAAACGTAGCTGATGTCACGGCGAGGAAATAGAAAATTCTACTCCATCAATGACGTTTTTCACCTAACGCTCTTCAAATTTTGACTATACAATTGATGTGAACTTAAAATGACAAATTTATTTTTCATTTCTACATGAGTGGTTTAGTAGTAGTAGAGTTTCTTGTGAGAGTTCGTTCAGGGAAGTACTGACATCTTACCACCAAGCAGTTATGTGAGCATTATTGTGTTTCGGTTCATAAGAGTAAGGGTGCTGGAGATGTTACAGGCACATGGGACTTTTATAATTATGTCTCCGGGTGATCTTTGCCATTTAAAGCTCCGAGCGGCAATGCAACTCTGTTATGAATAGGCGTGTCGCTTACCACCAGGAGCACGACTCGTTCGTCTCGTCATGACAATAAATTCTGCATTTACCCTAAACTGTACCAAAAGACATAGAAACCTACGTTAGGTTTCTCTAGATCACACCGGACCTAATTCACCACGATTTTAAGTTAAGGGTTTCGCGTTTCTTTACACGTTGAAGAAATATTACACATTGGGCAAATTATGAATATTTCATAAAACTTTGATTAAACTAATTAAGAGTCGAAAGTCGCGAACTAAGAAATGAGAAGCGACATTGTTTGACGATTATTGATACAAAATTTATGGGCAAAAAGCGTCTTAAAACCGGTTGTAAATAATTTACCTGTATTTTATTGAGGGGTAACCCTTAATAACAAAGATAAATTATTTATCACTTTCTTTTTTTTAGTAATCGATTAACCATGTTAACACATTTTCTAGTTATAAATTCTAGACGTATAATCTGACCTCCAAATATATGGACGTCGGGTTCGCGCTAAAGTGTCCGCACCTGTAGGGCGTAAAAATCGCATACAGAGCGTCAATCGCGCAATAGTCTTCGTTTGTTCGACTGACAGCGCGGTTGTCAATCATGCAGTACCAATAATAATAACTTGTAAAAATTAATGCAGTAATGTGTAAACACAGCATTTTGTATCATATTTTCACTAAACAAATATATTGTGTTATCATAGTTCTCATTTAAAAGTGTTATTTTATACGGTTTTATAGTATTTAATTTATATATAACTGAATAAAATAAGTTTACGTTTAGTTGGAATAGAATATCGGTACATTTCTTATAGTACACGCTTATTTTCGCATTCGTCGTAATATTTGTATGTACGTATCTACCCAACTCTTCATTATACCTTTAAGTGAATTTGTACAAAATTCGACATAATAATATAATATATATATAAAAATTAATTAATATTTACAAGAAAGGCTATTCCAGGGGTCTGGGTGTTTCCCGCTCCGGCGCAGACGTACGGGGAGAAGGCGAAGGCAGTTCGCTGCTCGCCTGATCCCCTAGTGAGACCAGCGGGCTCTGGACAGGGACTCCGGAGCCTGCATTGCACGGCCTCACTCGTCTGGGGGGCGGGTCGGAGGACTACCGACTCGCCCCTCCGTTGGCGCGGGAGCCCTGGCGTAAGCTAGGGCGGCCGGGCGGCGTCGTGGTGAATGTTCACTGATCCCACGGCGCCGACTCAACAGGCGAGAGGGAAACCCGGGGGGGTTTTAGCGGGGTAGGCCCTCCAATCTGGAGGGAGAGTCCCCACATAACCCCTGAGTGTCCCTGAGCTCAGGGGTATCCATAAAGATTTCCCCCCGTCAAAAAAAAAAAAAAAAGGGGGTCTGGGTGTTTGTGGTACCGTCGTTGTTTCCGATTTCCATAACACAAGTGCTTTAGTTACGTTGGGATCAGAATAACGTACGTGATATTAACTTAAAATAACGGATAACTACTACTTCCGTCGAGTCACCGCCGCGGATGATTAAGGACCACGAATTGGTTCAAAACATGTCGAGTAAAAATTCGACTTAAATACGTGAGTTATCCGTTATTTTTAGTTAATATGTCTGAGTCTCACGGTGGTTTTCAATTTAAAACGTAGGTACGTGATGTTGTGTAATATTTATTTATTTACAAATAATAAAAAATATTTTCAAAAAAGTTAGCAATGGAAATGGTGTTAATGGGTACCAATAAAATAATTTATATATAGGGCATGGAGGCACGTGTTTGTTTAAAGATGAAAAATAAATTATTACCTGAAGCTAATTGCAAAATAGCCTTGCTCTTTTTCGCTAGGACGCACAAGAAAGGCTCCGTCGCAATTTGCTTTGCGCAACAGTTCCTCGGCCTGCGCGCGAGTGCAGTGAGGCAGGAACCACTCTTTTCCTTCGTGTTTGTTCGGCTGCGGTACCGGCTCTTTCAAGGTTATTAAAAACTCCTGAGAAAATTTACAATTTATATATGAAACACGACTTATGTGAAGCACATAATTATTCCTGATAATATTACAAGTATACCTACCTGACTTCTCAATGGATGCTGCCTGTAGTGTGTAATCAAACTGTACAAGCTGTCGAAGCATACAGTGTTTATCAAATAGTACTTGGTTACGCCGCGGTCCTGCTTCAACTTTATCCGGCAATGATTCACTTTACCCTGACGCCAGAACGACAAGCAGTAGTCACCTACAAACGTGACGCTTTCTCGCACTAAAAATGTGCCGTCGCCCAAGTGTGCATGCGCTCGGAGCAGATCTTCAGCTTCTTGCCTATTCCCAGCCAACTTTCCATGAAACCAGCATTCACCGAAATGCAACTCGTCCTGAGGGACGTTAACGTTATTGTCCACTTCCGGTTCCCCATCACTATCGCCATCAGTCTCTCGTTGCGTACTGTAGTTTTCAGTGTAGTAAAGCTTATTTTCAGTTAAAACAAAAGCATGAGGGTGCCACTCCTTGTCGACCGGATCCTCTAGAAGAAGTATCCCATTTTTTATCGAATTTCTTAAATCCAAATCTTTTCCTTCTTCTTGGCGTACCGCAAAAGAATTTTCTTCTGCACCTTCAGGCAATTTCTTGTGTTTCAATATAATTTTTCTCCTCAACTCGTGTGGAGAGGGAAGTGCCGTTTCATTTTTTTCATAAGGCTGGACCACAAGCATTTCCCCAAATACATCTTGAAAAGCACTAGCCATACGTCTCTGTTGCGGCAATGAGCAGTTGTCTTCAATCGACAAAATGAGCGGGTAATCTGAAGTAACAAACGCGTGCTCTTTTATTGTGCGCAAAACATCCATGAACCTAATTTTTGTAGTTAGCGTGTGCCCGTGGTAAATAAATGGCGTTCCGTCAGGACCGTCCCAGCAATCAAGTTCGATGCATCTACATCCAGACCTCAGACATCTTACATATGCCTCCAAAGAAGATTCGCTTGAAAATTGGTCACCAGTCAGGTATCTGTCGAATAATAGAGTGTTAGAAACCTAGGCTAAATTACTAGTCACGAAAATAGAGCGTTATTATTTACGTGTTATGAGAAGATGAGATCCAGTAATGGGAAAGCGGCCTAGTCATATCCTGCGTGACACAGTCGTGTCTACTGTCCCAGATGGTGTTTTGTTTCGAGAACAGCATCTCGATAAACTGAAACAGTCAATAATGAAAGATTATAAAATTACGTAGCTCTTGCCTTTCTCAACATTTGTGATAGTAACTATAGAAAAGGGATTCTTACTTCATTCAATGTGAAATAAGGTTCATAGACGTCTCTTTGTGGATCCCGAAGGTAATCTCTAATGAATTGCGATGCCCGTATCTCGTCTTCGCCCATGCGATCATGATGTTCCACAAGCAGGAATCTTTGGAACTCGCGAAGACTGATCGAGGTGCCGTTTGAACAGTACAACGAGTATTTATCGAAGATATCGTGGACATTCTGAGAACAGAGATTATTTCGAAAAGGTACTACTTAAGTAGTTTTCGTATTACAATTAAAGATAACGCAAGCTTTTAATGCACAATCGCGTATTCACACTTTTTCAGATAGTTAATAATAGTGAAGATAAATACATATATCAAACTCATAGCATATTGGAAAAATAACCGACGAGATTCGACTTTGCTAATTACATGTGAAAATTCGCTTTGGCGTCATCATAGTAACTATTTCAGTAATCGTATTCTAAGCAAGATCCAAACTGTGAAAGAAAATAGTACAACACGCATATAACAAGGACATACGTTTCAAGTGTATACTGGGTTAATTTTTAAATAACTCGAGATATATTATCATTTTCCAGAAATACTGTATCAGGGTTATTAAACTAAATTACTAGTTTCAGAACATTTCAGTACTGTTTTCAATTTTTCCTTGATTACTTATTATTGATATATGTACTTTTTATTAATTAATATTATTTATTTTAAACTAGAACTGTAATCAATCACAGACCATCTACATTATCAAAATTTTCATTTGCAATTACAATGGTGAGATTTAAAGTTTGTGTTTTTAGTCTATAACCTAAGTAAATACAAATGGCAGCACTGCATTATAGGTAACTGTATATTAACAAAGACAGCTGTTACATGTACATATTGTATTTCAAAGTCAATGTTTACATTCATGTATTCATTGATGTTCATGAAAGTCAATGGTGAATATCAACGTCTGGATGACCTCTGCAGAGATGTAAAAAACTGTCACTGTATTTACTTAGCAGTGCTTTGCAAAACAAGAAGTATACTTAATCCATGGAGCAATACCAAGTTTAAGATCATTAGAAATTCAAATTTTCACAAAAGTACCTTCTGACCCTTATGGTCCTTTATATAAACATTGTCATGAAGATGCATTGATGTGTAAATTGATTCATGTTGCACTCCTCGCATGAGAATGTTTAAAATTGAATATGTGTGGAAAAGGTCAGACAGCACAGGAAAGCTGCCATATTATAGCTCAATTGTTTTTTATATAATAATTTAATGATACCCGGGAAATAAAATCTACTTAGATGGTGTCAAAACACCCTAAGGGTGATTTTTAAAGCAAACTTTAACTTCGACTGAGCAAAGATTGCGAGTTAAGCAAGTTTTTCGTATTTACAAAACAAGCTTTACATATGTTTAAGAAATACTTTGGAGTTTATACATCTCAACCTAAATTACAGTGCTACTTAGGGACTTTAGACATCTAACCTTCTCTGACATCCTAAAAACGCTGTGTATGTGTGTGTGCGTGTGTGTGTAATATGCGTCAGTATACATTACTCGCGCACTTATTATAACAAATATTGCTAAAATCAATTATAATGATTAAGGGTTCATACTACATAGTATACAATGAATAATTCTATTTTATGTTTTCAAAGTGCATAAATAAATATCAGTAACAATTAATTTATATGCTCTATTTAATTTTGACAAAGTCTATTTAATTCGGACAATTCCATGTTAGTGTATTGATGTCCACCGAATACAGAGAATGTTACATAGACAATAATACAATGATTAGTGACTTTCACTAAACTTTATACAATCCTTTAATAATGACGATCATAGCACAATCAAGTCACCTTTTCAGTTACGATTATAATGAATATGTGTAACCAAACACAATCAATTGTATCTGTATTAAAAGAACAGGACGATTACAGTCAGCGTCAATTACCCAAATGGTCTAAGTATAAACACAAGACCCATTCAATATAGTAAATTTCATTTATACATATCAACATGCTCAAAATATCTGCAGATTTGACAAAAAAAAAAGTCCTATCCTAGGCAAAGCCATTTTCTGCAAGAACTTGACAGTTCAACTGGCACCATTTATACATTTTAGGTAATAAGGCAAAACATTATTGCATTAGGGACAAAAATACTCACATTTTCATCAAATATCAGCCTGTGGTACAAGATAGAAAAGTCATCAAATCCAATTTCACCTCTTTTATTGGTGTCTACTTCTTGAAAGATATCTCTAAGTTTACTTGTTGATATTTTGCAATTAATTTTTGGTAAAAATGCTTTTACTTCTTTCAGAGTCACTCTGCAATTTAAATACATGTATAGTGACATTATCACTAATAATAATAAATCTAGAAAAAATATCAAATTTTATGAGCAGCAGTTTGAATGTATTTTAACTCCAGGGATTTTTATATGTATAATGCTAGACAATTATAAAGTCAATGCAAAACAACAAACTTCTTCCATCTATTGTATCAACTTCTTTTAAATAGAAAGTAAAATTACATGAACAAAATTTGTTTCTCAAGTATGGGCCACTAAAAGCAATTCCACTACTGGCACAATTACTTCTTTTGTATGAACTTTGTTGTTTACTTTGGGAACTGGGCACCCAAAGCTCCCAAATAAAAAAGACTAAAAAAAATTGTAATTTATAACATCATCATCATACCCACAATCCAGATATTTTTTATGCATTTCTCCCTTAATTGTAATAACTTTTATAAACATTATTGTGGACAATAATTAGATTCTAGATTCACAAAGGGAACACAAATGATATGGTAACAAGACAAAAGGTTTTTTGTGAAAGGTCTTTATGAAATGCAAAATAGGCGCCTTGACGTCGAGTTGCGGACACCAGCCCGTTATACCAAGTACCAAGTAGTAGTAGAACTAATACATCATCATTATCAAGAATTCTTAACACATGCCACAGCTAGGAATAGGCCTGGTCTCAGTATTAAAAGTAAGTATTCTGTATAAATGACAGTAATATTGTTCTTCATATAATATCAGTATTTCTGAGCTTAGTTGGACCACATGTGTATTGCTTTACATATATTAAATTCAGCAGGAACTTTACAAGTACTTACTTTTCTTGAGAATTCTCAAGTGCATAAAATTCCTTTCTCAACCATCTCTCAATCTGTAATGGATATGAGGCATTGACAGCTTCCTCGACTAGAAACCATATGCCCTTCACCCAAGCCTCGCATTCCTTATCGGTTTGAGCTGAAACATTAGGAAAGTTATATTTAAATCTGAACCAATAACAAAGCTTAAACAACATAAAATATGACTGTAAACAATCCCCAGCAATCATAATATTGAATGACTCACTCAGTGAGTTTGCCTATACCCACACAATTACAAAATTGAGTAAACTAATCACCTGCAAAAGATGCTGAACGCAATTTGAACTCTGTGCCGTAGTAAATAGTGAAACATTTGGAGTTCTCCAGCCTCTTCATTTCTTCAGGCCATCGTTCGAAGTCTTTAGACGATTTGCCGACTCTGACTTCCTTGATATCTCTTATATCGAGAGCCCCTTCGAATGCTTGTCTCTGTGGTGCCCCATTCCGGAACCAAATCACCTGATGAGTTTCACGTCTCACCGTAAGCGTACGCCTCTCTGGACGCTTTCGAGGATAAAACTTTAGGATGGTAGAACCACGTTCTATGTAAGAAATTAATTGATCAGCCTCGTGAATAAGTCTGTCGGTGCCCCCGTTGTAACACACCGAAGTCATTGCACTTCCGTTGCTGCAGCCGTGCTGCCCGCAGCGAGGTGTACATGGAATATGATCCTAATTAAGGGCAGACGGAATTTATACGATTTTCCACACAATAAACTTACACACTTGTATACTACAGTAACTTTATTTGTTTGACAGACATTTCCAAATCAAATGAGTTTTGTTTGGATGTGTTCTACACCATAGATTTAGTATGTTCTACACTAAAATAAAATGCAATTTCCTTAGGGTTGCCAATGCATGATCATTCTTACCTACAATGTGTTGTCCTGTACTGTACATGCTACAATGTTAAACGTTGTGCCTAATTTTTTCATTGTATACGCTTGTATACCGATGCTTGGTTTAACATGTCGGTTAACATGGTTGCAAGCGAATATGTCAACGAACATGTTGGATAGGTTCGTTATTAGTGTTGTTTATGATTGTATGATGTACCGAATATGTTTTGTTTCCACCTATACCCTTAACTCATTATCTTGCATTGTAGCCCGCCTTGCCATCCGCCACGTAATGCAGGGTTATGAATTTAGTCGCAGCGTGCAAGCGTCCTGCGAGACTCCATATGCGGGCCATACGCAGGATAGTGTGAGCAGTCTCCTGCCTGCGCGACGGACTGCCATCCAGGTAGTGAATGGGCCCTTTAACACTATTATCTTCTATTCCACCTATTTTCAATGGAAACACGAGTGGAAGAAGCCACCACTTTTGTTTAGGAAAAAAAATATTTTCAATATAAAGGTGTTTCGGACTAAAAAAATTACAGGAACCGACATGGCATGTTTCACATAAGCGTTAATCGCTTGAAATTGAAATATTTCCATTTAATATTCTAGGAGTTATAGCCATCGAGCATATAATTAGAAATAGAGAATGGTTATATCAAACAAGATCGCGAATGATACCGGATGTAGTTATATTTGTTTATCACACCATTAGGCGGTATTTTTATTATGCGGCCCTAAGGCAGATAAGGGTTTTTTATTTTTGCTCCTACGCCACTGACGTCCCGCCACTCGCGCGAGTGCGGGGCCCCCGCGCCAATTCACTGCTCTTTTTAATTTGTAAAAATTAAAAACACAGTCGGCTTTATTTCATTTATAATTTTCATTATGACACTCATAAACACCATGGTTAAGCAAACGGTTTACAAAAGTTAAATATACTATTATGAACAGAGAGACAAAATATCTTTCAAATAAATCATAAGACACAGGGTGTAATCGTGTGTCTAGGCTATTATTCCGAAAATATAAGAGATACCTATCAAAAACCTTTAAACTGATATCGAAAGTACGTGGGATAAAAAAATTCGGTATTAAAACTTTTTGCTGTGTGCCATAATCCAGCGTGGCCATGGTCGAGTTTTGGAAATAATGACTAGCCAGAAAAAAGTCGCTATTTAGTATAAACGTAGTGCTTAAATTCTCTTTGATTTAGTAAGTATCTAAACGTGCATAAAGCTAGCGGGCCGGATCGAATTCCAGCAATAGTCCTGCGTAACTGTGCGCCTGAGTTGTCTCCTATTTCCACACGCCTGTATCGCCTCTCGCTTGAGACTGCTGTAGTTCCCAGGTCGTGGAAGCTAGCAGTCACTTCATACTCTGCAAAACTTAGAACGTGTACTTAACAACCGTCAACGATCTCCTCAGATTCTGAAGAGGGCGATCTACTGAGGATCTTCTTGTGTACGCCTCTCACTTATGAGGCGAGGTTATTGAAGGGCATGGCGAAGCCATTGCAGTGTCTTTAGACATTTCTAAGGCCTTTGACAGGGTCTGGCACGCAAGCCTTTTAAGCAAGCTTCCCCCTTATGAGCTTCCCACTGACCTTTGCAATTGGATTTCGGATTTCTTAAGTGAACGTTCGATTCGAGTGGTCTTAGAAGGCTACTCTTCCGAACATTGGGCGATAGATGTTCGGAATTCCTCAGGGTTCTGTACTGTCCGCAACCCTCTTTCTGCTGCATGTAAACGATATGTTGATTCCAGGTACCTTTGGGTATGCTGATGACAGCACAGTTGTGGACAGGTACTTGACCGATGCAAGGGTCAGTGGAGAAGAAATCCAGTCTTGTCGAGAGTCCATGGTTAGTCGTTTGAATTTGACACTTAAGGCAGTCTCCGATGGGGGCGATACCAATCTTGTCAAATTTAATGCTTCCAAAACGTTGACGTGTTTTTTCTCCACTAAACGGAGTCCGTTTCACCTGATTCCGACTTTTCGTGATATATCCATACCAATAGCCGTCCGTCTTCACCTATTTGGAATGGACCTGTCGTCCAATCTGAATTTCGGTAGACACATTGAATCCATGGCCAAAAATGCAGCCAATAAGCTTGGCATCCTGTCCAAGGTGAGGATTACTTCGCACCGGGACAGTTGCTTCAGCTGTACCAAGCACAAGTCCTGTTGTGTATGGAGTACTGCTGCCTCTTATGGGATGGCTCAAGGTGGCCAGTTGGTATTTAGCACCAACTGGCCATCTTGGATTCAATAGACAAGGGTGCTAAGATTACTTTAGGGCTTATAGGTGACTCGGAATTAGTAAAGGCGAAGCTGCAGAGCCTTGAACACCGCCGCAGAGTTGCCAGCTTAGCGGTATTCTACAGGATATATCACGGAAAGTGTGCGATGGAATTGCATAATTTGATTCCGCCTTCACCTTCCCATCATCGGGAGACTAGACGTAGGCAGGGGTTCCACCACTATGTTGTGGATATACCCCGGATTCGCACGAAGCGTTTCGCTTCCACATTTGTACGGCGAGCACCTAGGGAGTGGAATTCCTGCCTGCAAACTTGTTCCCCGATCGCTATAACTTGGACCTTTTCAAAGCGAGAGTGAATAGGCGTTATTTAGGTGTGCATGCTACATCCTCGACCTCATCGTCACTTTCTATCAGGTGAGATGGAGGCCAAATGCGCACTTATTTTAAAAAGTTCCTAGTCGCAAAAAACTAGATTTAGTCGGTCCGCCGTTCAAAAGATATAAGGGTGTTTTACTGTCCACGTCGGAATAACCTTATTCCAGCAGCACCATTTCTCAATCTCTGAATCAATTCGATCTGATTACACTAAAAAAAAATCGTGATTTAGTCGGTTCTAGTCGTAAAAAACTAGATTTAGTCGTTACGTCGGCTTGAAGTTATTAAGGGTTTTACTGTCCACGCTGAAATACGCTTATTCCGGCAGCACTATTTTTGAATCTCGAGAACACAGCTCTTAGCTTTGCACCCAAAAAAAATTGTGAATTAGTCGGGTCTAGTCGCGAAATTTTAGAATTACAAAATGGGGTTCATAAATAAAATCTCCAACTTTATTTCTATAATTTATTTATTAGAAAAAACAAATATACACTTATAATAAAATATTTCCATCATCTCCAGCTCTTTGCCTATAGAGACCATCTTCCACATAGATCAGAATTTGTGAAGTTAACGACAGTCATGATTTGCGCATATTGAAAAGATCCCCGCGATTCAGGTGGGTCTAGTCGCAAGTCGTCATCTTTTGATCTACAAATAATACAAATTTAGATCTACGTGTCAAAACAATAGCTGCATGCACGTCGGCAAGTTTGCGGGGGTCGCATCATGTGCGCTCATTGGCACGAATATTACACGTACACATTTGCTCAAACACATTAAAAATGGTCTCATCGATTGTCCCCAAAATACCGATGATGTAATGAAATTAATTCTGAAGGCTTTCTACACAGTACACCCAGAATGAAATTAATTCAGAAAATTTAGTTTTTAACGTTTTTCTTCAATGTATGTACCAAGTTTACTTTTACGCAAGTTTCAGATATTTTAAACCACAGCAAACCGCTCTAGCTCTCAAAATTAAGGACAAGAAAACAGGAAGGAAATCGAGTCAGTCGAGTTGCTTATAGAAACATCATGGAGAATCGTAAAAGCGTAGTTTGTCTTAATCCCATGAACTAACGAAAACCTCCCTTTTCATATTATTTAACAGATGAGAAAGCCAGACATAGATATATAGACACGTATACATATGAAATCGGAACACTCACTACACTGAACTACAACTGCATTAAGTGAGGTCATGCAATTAATTATAAATGTATTGTAATTATAATCAAAAATCCTCAATATTACTACTTATATCTATGTTTTTGACTTCGGTTTTTTGTCATTCATCAAAATTTATTCGTGAAAGAGACCCAGTAACCTGCTCATTGCTCATTAGCAGCCGTTTGATCGCTTTGATATTTTGGAATGTATGTGGCGTTTGTTCAGGCAGCTGATCAATACGGTACTTCAAAGTGCTATACTACTTAACTATACGAGCACTTAAAAGTTTAATGTGGCCGAGTTAAAAATAGGTGTTCACACAGAATTTAGAACTTGGAACCAACGTATCGCATCAAAAGCGAACACGACCGTCATCACTTCTATAAATGAGATCGCGTTACAACGAAGGCATATGACAATCGCTCTGAGAAGCGCTTTGGATGCCCCACCTCCATCCCTTACACAGAAATGTCATTAGACATAGCGTTTACTGGAAAGAAAAGTACATTGCTCGCTATTGCATTCTGCAATATCCAATAATCAACGCATTTCCAGTAAAACTGATATCGCTCAGTGGCGATAAGTCCGACTTATAGACGTTGCATGAAATACACAAATTATGATAATGTACATTAATTTTAAGACATCAATGAAAATCACGAGTAATGTATCTACTGCACATCGATTATATATATGTTATACTACTTTTCGCAGAGGTATTGAATGTTATGACATTTAACAACACGTTTTTGTATCGCAGAGATAACACGAGTTACAGCATTGGCACCATAAATACTTCAATGTAATGATAATATCAGCAATTGCTTTAATGTCTACGTATAGTGACTAAGCTAATAAACACATAACCTTTCTTTTTTTAAATCGACTCCAACTGACCGCCACTTCCTGATAAGGGCAACTTCGGGGGGTTATGGTTACCCCGTGACGTCGTACAGGACATCACGAACAAGCAGTTTCAATCATTCCAATGTGTACAATAATTATTAAGTCTAAATATATGTATGTTTACGGAAACGAGTCATCTTCTACGTACCATGCACTGAAGTCTTGATTTTGGTATATTATACCTTGGTATAATGATGTAAAACCCTAGACCTAAAAATGATCCATACAGAATTCAATTTTATTACATTGTAACAGCAGGGCACATTGAAGTCGTAAGTTAAAAACTTCGCTTCCGTAATTATAACACGGTACGGTCCGAATTCAAAACATAGTAAAGTACAATTCGCAATACGCTCAGCATTCAAAATAACGGCCTAAATCAAAGCTCAAAATTAAATCTCATCAATATGTATCTAAACAACAAGATGATTGCATTATATGACATGCCTCTCAGATTAGAGATATAACGAAATCTTATTGGTTGTTTGAACGTATCGATTTATAAAAAATACAATAATAAAAAAATGTGCTAACTCGCTTTTAGCATTCAAAAAATGAATACGTATTGTGAAAAGTATGTATGTACTTTGTGTGTTGAATTGGGACTTATTATCGGCTATCATCGGCTATTTAAAAATAAATAATATGCCATTTAGAGTTACAAATATAATTTTGAAAACACCACATACGCTATCAGTAATTAAGCCATTGCAACATTTAAAAATGGCATATTGGATGACAGTAACGTTTAAGCAAGTTTATTGTGGATACATCATATAATAAGGTAGTAATACAGGCATTGATACATCATTCGGTTGTACATTGTAGAATGGCATAAAGGGTGTATTGGTGACCAGCCGCTCTGCGATATGTGGGGCAGTGGTCGGCGTTAATTGCTAGGTAGTGGGCGTAGACGCTAGCATCACCTCGTCAAAAGCTTGTTCGAGGCAGTGCTTCAGTTCTGCGTACGAGACCACCAAAATACTCTGGCCGTCGCGGGACATCAGTTCCACCTGGAATTATATGCTTTATAAAAAAAATTGAAATTTGAAAATTGGAAAACGTCTACCTCTGCACTTAACATTTAAATTTGTTTCATGAAATATGTGAAATCCAGTGTGTGGTGTTGCTTTTTAAATAAACGATCGTCCGTGTGACTGAGCCGCGATCATAAGCGGTTACCTTGGCGTTGGAGCCGCTATCAAGTTGGTTGAGACAATGTACCAAGTGGGCTTGGTCCAACCATGGCCGTCCGTCTGGTGTGACGGCGTGGAACAAATAATCCCGGAACAACTTCAGCATATAACGGTCGCCAGTCTCAGACCAGGCAGCGTCCAAGTTTAATCTGCACAAAAACATGCCCTACTTAAACACCATTTAGTACTAATGTCAAAAAGCGTTATTTGTCTTGAACATAATACAGTGCTTTTTTAACTGTGATACTATAGAGAAATCTGAAACCATAGGAGATACAGGGAAACTGTCATGATAAAACAACTTTCTTAAAATGTTTTATTATTTTATTAAATTTGAACAACTTATGTTGTCCTATTTTGATCCAATACCATGAAAAGATCTTTACAAGAAACTGAGTTGATGAGCATAAAAAATGGCCATATTAATAATTTTGACCAACTCACGCTTGACCAAAAAATTTACAACATCAAATTTGTTTTTACAAGAAGACCTAATGGTTCTTCAGACAGTTTCCCTGTATCTTCTATGGTTTCGGATTTCCTGTCCCAATAAAAAAAAAAGTGTATATATAACACACACGATTCCAAAAGATGACGAAAAAATGGAATAACTTACTCCGGACGTTCATTGACGACGCCCAACCTGATCAATATACGCAAGAGACGACCGTTGTCGTATTGACGAACGAGATCTTGTTCAAGCTCATCTGTACGTCGCTCCAGTGATTCCACCTGTATTTCAAAAATAAAGTAGCAACAATTACAACAGTAACAACAACAATTAAGTGCAATCTAAAATGTGACAGAGAATAATTAATGCAAGAATGCTGAAAAAAACTCTTGGGACTTTACACTAGTTGTTATTTTGTAATCAATACTTTATTGCATACCCTAATGTTATACAAGGTAATTCTATTAAGGTCTTTGTGGACCCCACAAGGGCATAAAAAAAAACTAATTTGAAAGTTATTATTTTACTTCATTTTCCCAGATGTACGTTCGTTTTGGTAGTAGCGGTAATTAGTTCACTAAAACGTTGCAATAAAGGGACGTCGAAATCTGGACGGTTTATAAATGACAAAAAATTTAGTTTTCTTTACTGATGTTATGCAATAATAGTATAAAAGCATCTGATTATGCTGTTTATTATTATGGCCCATTCACTCAAAATCCCGTTTGGTTCGAAAAATTATATGGCAACGCTACAACTTATAAATGATTACCTGTTTTTTGCTGATCGTGGATGAAAAAATGTTACCTGATTATAAAATCGGGCCCCGATCATTGGCATTAGATCGGTGACAGAGCGACGAGCAGAAGTTGACGACAATAAATACCTGCAACATTTAAATTGAAATATTCAGTCAACCGTGATCATGGGACCTGTAAAGGGCCCGAAACGTCGGTTTGTTTGAAAAAACAAATAAAAATATACGCGATTTAAACCCGGAAAAAGTTTCATTTACGAAAACCTAAGAACTCGATATGAAATATTCTCTTTAAAATGGTTTCTTATCTATTAAACCGTAACCTCTTAACATTCCTATCGTTATACTCCAACAAATTTTGTTCTATAGCTTTCGATAGTAAATAAATCTGCATCACCTGTTCGTCGATTTATCTAGAAAGTAAAAAAAGGTGTGTATTGTGTTATTTATTTTAATGACACAAATGCAATGTTAAAAGATTCTTCGGGTTAATAATTTATTATAATCAAGACTAATATTCAATATTACATACAAAATAAGATTTTTCAAATCAGCAGAATAGGTCCTGGCAACAAGTTCAATAGATGCGGGTAAGTTGTCGCAGTGGATCGTGCGGCAAGCCAGGGCCAAGGTCAGGCGACCCAGGGAAGTCAGGTCATCTTGCTGGGCCTGTCAAGTCATAGAAAACATTTCACTGCACATGATTTACACGAAAATAATTTAAATATAAATAATCGGCGCAGCTGAGGGTATAATCAAGCTTAGTTCTATATTGGCCAAGGCCTACCTAAATCGTATGGGGTAAATGAAATGAAATTTATTTGCCTGAAATAGATGGTAATAATAATAAGTTCTCATATTTCACCAAAATTGCAAATAATATATGGTCATCTATATATTTTATAATTTAACAATTTTAAAGTAATTCTAACAGCAGTACAGACTTATTAACATTTATTAATTTACTAAATTATTGGTATGTCATTAAGAAATAAAATAAAATTGGTAAATATTTTTCTTTTTCGTTTTAGTCAAATAAATTTAATTAAATATTACTTGGTAGGTTTCATGTAGTTGTACTATATAGCTGCATTGGAACTTAATTGATTCAAGCGTCGCCAGGATACATTTACTGCAATGAATCGTTAGCTACACCATTAAACTCAACTTGAATAAGTGCAGAAGTAAAGGTACCTTATGGTGTTATTTTAAGAGTTTTTTCCACGGTGATCATTTCTTTAATTATGGCTTACCTGACCGACGTCGCTGAGATTGGAGTGAAGCGCATCCGCCACACCGCACCACGCAATGCGTATACGACATCCACTTATCAACACCTTGGTGGGGTCCAAGGTTCTGACCGCAATGACATTACATATATTTTATTAATAACACAAGTGATTTATCGGCAGGTTTGTAGCACTAGACATCCCGTTAGCCGAATTTATAGTATATTTTCCTTCGGATTACAAACATTTTATTCTTTATATTTTGATATTAAAAGTAAAAATTGTACACAATGATGGGTGTATTGGACAGTAAAGTATGTAACATCAGAGTATTCGCTCGGGAAGAAAAAATCGCTAAGGCCAGTCGCAAAACGGTTTAAAAAATAATACGGGACTTGAAAGTACCTGCAAGCAAGGCCGGCCGCGTGGATGACGCGCAGAGCGGCTGTCAGTTGCACCAGTAGACTCCACAACACATGCTCGGGCAGTAGAGCGCCACTCGCAACGGCGCGGAGCATTGCATTTTTCTATTAACATAATACCGTAAATATTACACGTATAAATATAAAACAAAAATTTTTACGACAATCCCAAATAATGAAATTAAAATCACTGTAATACGTCACTGGAAACGAAAAATTGTTGTAATATTCCAATAAATTTGTAACAAAAGTTTTTGAAATTTTAAGTAAAATCGCGCTTACCTGATGAGTGTAAGGCCGAGGCGCGTCAGGATCTGAGGAGAATGGATCATGGTAGGCGCTATTGCCGTCAGCTACCGCACTTCCCGCGCCCGATAAATACTTGTTCATTAATGTCACGGCTGTCGCGTGATAATCGTACACAAGGATCATAGCTGAAAATTTCATTCGCTGTTAACACAGGACCTTATGCTTAGCTTTCCTATCGTAGAATGCAAGAGATTCGAAAGTGTGAAGATCACAGTGCTCATTATCTATTTCATAGCTACTAGGCGCTACAGTTGAAACAAAAAATACGATGGACTCTTAGAACAACGTTTGTTCAGAAATGGCAGTATAGTTTAAAGCATTTAGGTATAACGCAATGCATAGGTTGTTTTAAGATAAATAAAGCCGGTCTATGTCCTTATTTAAAAAAAAAGTGTATTTCGCGTTCATTAGCTTTGTTGCAAGTTTCGTTTTTTATTTGTATACGTACGTAATGTTGACGGTTTACCACATAAATAATATACTTACAGTGGTCCCCGAATGCAGTGGTAGTGAAATAATCATGCAAACGAACGACGTTCGGGTGGTCAATGTGCTTCCAGGTTTCGAGGCGTCGAGTCGTGGGGGACACGTTAGAGAACGCGTGAAGACGCCGCAGGGCGTAATAGTCGCAGCTTTGACGGTGCGTAACACGGAATGAAGTCGCCATAGAGTGTGGCGCTGAGCCTTCTAGCGGCATCAGCTCCGAGTACATTTCCACGTTCTCTGGAAGGTTTGTTATTGAATACCATAGGTAATTTTGCACTTACAATTATCTATTGTGTTCAATAGGTAATTGTAAGTACGTATCACAATTTCACACAATAATTAATAATCATTGACATTAAGCAAACGACATACACCGGATCATCTTTGCGATGTCGAGACAGGTTTCTTACTTAGCCTTAAACAAAAATAGGGTTATAAATTGTGTAAAACAAAATTTACCCGGAAATTGCATCATGTCTGGTTGCATGAAGACACCTTCATTTCGCTGATACACATAACATGACTTATCTTGACCTATCGAAAGAAAACATATGCATGAAAACAAAACTAGTCACACAAACAAAAATCACCTTACTGCGTATAATTTTACGGCGAATTGTACTAATTTCTATATATTTGACAAAGTCGCATAGTTTCGCGGCATGCCATTTTCTGTGACCTTTGAATTTCACCAGTACTAATCTAATTATTTTTATACTTGATTTTCAATTGCTTAATTATTGGAACAACTACTACTGTATTCGCAAAATTATTATTTTCATCACACTTGCTCGTGTATAACGTTCAGCAAATATACGAGGTATTTTTATCGTACGGCCCTAGATTGGTAAAGATTTTTGTTTAATTTCTCCCATCTTCTGCCCACAGTGCAAACAAACTGCCGCCGGCTCGGCTTTTAAAAGCAGTGGGTTTTTCTATTTTAATAATAAAACGAATGTATATACAATCGGCTTTATTTCATTTATCAATGTTATGGGGCACTTGCTCATAGATACCATGGTATATATAAATTAAAAAAATGTTTTTTAATTCTTCGCAAGTGTGACGAAAGTCAAATGTGGCGGCAAATATTCGGGTCATTTAAAACTGTCTGTTCGTAATTGCGTACATACCGCCCTTGTAATACAGTGTACTATACATAAGTGGGGAAAGTCTACAGTTTTGCTATTAATTTCTAGAGAAACGATGAGCGCTTAACATTTTTATATATTGCTATTGACAGCGCCTACATTTCTTTACAAGCGATCTGTCACTAGAACGTTTCTATCGTAAACTTAGCCTGTCTAGTTTGTGAACAGATCATAGCTGTGGCTATCTTGTATATTATTAGAAATTAATCAAAACACAAATGATCTAATGCCTATCTAATTCATACCAATATTTTCTTAATGAAGCAGCAACGTATTGAAAACTCGTAATTCTGCCCATATATTTGCATATATCTAGATGTGTGCCTATCAAATAAATTGTTTGTTTCACATTCAACTGATTGCAGGGTCATTTGTCAATTGGAGCTCAATATGCATACGCGTTGCATTTTAACGAAAGCCAAGAGTCTGGCGTAAAACTTAGGGTACACAGTCAAAGCAGGACCAGGAACAGCGGTCGCACACTTTGGAAATTTTTAATGCTAACGGATTCTTCCGACTAATAAATTCATTTTGGGTAAAAGTATCATAAAAAATGAATTTTATAGTATGAAATTCTCGAAAAGAAAGAGTAATACTGATATTCGCTTTAACACATTTAAAAAAAAACTACCAACATTAAAACTGTCCTTACAGCATGTTTACGAGGATGTCTTTGTATTATAAAAGAAAGGCATAACAATATTGGCCAATATTGACAACAGCGGCTAATTTGAACGCGCCCTTAACCTCCACATGTACGAATGCACAGACTAAATGTAGACCCAAGAATGTGAGTGCTGCAAATTCGTAAAAAAGCATATGTATCTAATACTCCTCAATCATAACAGTAAAAAGAAACAATAGAAACCTGCTTTTATTAACACCTCGCCAACCAGTCTTCTTAGTATGTACAGATCCGGTCTACACTCAATGGCAATTAAATTTTGTAATATAATAGTATACCAAATGAAATAAAAACCGAGGAAAAATTATTGAAACTCATCACAAATAAAAAAAAAAATCTATTTAAGGATGCATTTAATATAATAGACGAAATTTTAAATAAATGATAAATGCCATCTCATCATTACTTAGTAGTTAATATTTCGCCATTATATTATACGAAAATATTGGTATTAATTTGTAGCGCATTTCAAATTTGCAGCGCCCTTGCCTGCAAGGGATGAATCTGGACCGTGGATCATCTACAATCTACATCATCAACTAATGGGCACGATTCTCTGTACTTGGAAATTTAAATAATAGGTACATGCCACCACCCTGATTCGGACCATTTACTCAATTGAGAAACAACCTTTCTCCCATTGGGCTATCACTTAGGCCGACTCCACGGCCTAAGTGGCTGGTCTCAATCTGCCATCCACTAACTAAAACGCGACTAAGTGTCAATAAGATCAAAAATTCTCTATTTAAAAACACTTAAAGTTTGTTAACTTGTCCAACATATTAAAACATACCAATGGTGCAAAACTAAAATATCATTAAACAATTTCGATATTCTAAAACTGGGTTATGGTCTTTTTTTGATATCTCAAAAAATGATTTTTTCACATAGCGCCGTTTTAGTTAATGGACGGCAGTAATAGGTATTAAACAATAGGTATTAAACCTAACTACATTTCAAGCACTGTTTAAATTTCTATGACCAGAAGACTCAAAATGCAACGCTTGTTATGGGGCCGACGATGCTTTCGTTGTGATAAAATTAAAAACCTTATTATGTTCCTCTTTCAATTACCTATACACGTACACGGCCTAGCTATACACTGTAACTATGTTTGTTTAGGGGATATTAAGAGATCACAGTTTTCATGTACCTGGAGGAATAATGCACTTATTTTACGACCTTTTTGCAAACACCTTGCATTTATTACCTGATTTATCAGTCAAACCCATGGGTGGTGGAGTTCTGTACATAGCGGAAGCATAGGGATTTGGCACTGCAGCGCTGGTGCTGGGACCAAGTAAGTTCGCATCTGCACCTATACATAAGGTAAAAATTGCCAATTTAAAATTAACTTTTAACTAAAAATGTATGCAAACAGTTAAGCACTACATAGTCTTGAAGTTACAAGTATTATTAGAAGCATGAATTTGATCTCTCGGGATTTTTAACGTTATGATAGACAAATATAATTATTACCTACCACAATAATCCCTAATCTATTGTATCAACTATTTTAATATATCCAATAAAGTTACAAACTAACATTCATGAATAAGAAATCTTGTATAATGTACATTTTGTGTATTAGTGTATTTTAGTACAGCGTATACAGTTTGTAAAATTGTATCATTCTGTAAATATTAATAAACCTTTTTATTTTACAGCCTGTATACCAATAGTATGTAAAAGATACAACGCCATTGATATCACAAAACTCATTTATTTTTATACTACCTGCAACTGTCATGCATAAACTATTTGTAGAAGTAAATACCAATCTAAATACACAACATATTTTTATATCAAAATTAAATACTCAAAATCAACACTATTAATGAATAACAGTCATAATTAACAATCATTAGGTAGTCCTCTAATATCCGGTCATAACTCTCAGGGTGGTATTCCAAGACTTCCCCATTATCCATCACCCGGTAGGTAACCCACAGTAAGTTCTGTCGCTGTTGAGGGCTAATAACCGAATTCAAATGGCTGTTGGTCATAGCTAGGAGCAGACTTCGGCCAGCTCAACCCTCGAGCTATAATCTAGTCTGCATGGTGATAGTACAGGTCACCATTTTCTCACCGCATAAATGCTGGGTCCCTCTACGTTCTAAACGGTACCCTTCATCCACTCCATTCCTGGCCTTGGTACATGCGCACAAGCACGGGTTGGTCTGCGCGAAACGTGCGTGTACACGGGCGCTGCGCCGCCGCCAGCTGAGTTGCTCATTGGCGCTACTACTCGACGTGCTTTTTGGGTGTATTTTGGATACAGCCATCCTGTACTTTCGTCTATTCAGTATTTCCGTTGGTGTCTTATTAGTGCAGCTGGTAGAGTAAGCAGCACCAGTGTTTTACTCCAGGGCAGACTGGTAGTTGCCATTTTCTTCAATTTGTTTTTAAATGTCTGTACGGGTCTTTCTATTTATAAGTTTGATACCAGATGGTAGGGCGAAGTGTACCGGTGGCTGACGTACTTCCTCAAATATAAATTAAATCTTTCCGTTGCCAGAAACCAAAACGTCAGGTAAACGTTGTGACTCATTAATTTATCTCAAAATATTGAATCCGAGCTCATAGGTGGAACTATTTCTGCCTTAAGTCATTTGCTGTATGAGTAAAAACGCTTTTCCCTGAGAGAGGCCGTAACCGCTGCTGTGTGCAGCCACATCATGCAGGAGACACGCGACTCCATTCATGTGTGCTAGCGCCGTGGACGACCCTTTGGAAGATGCCAGGCGCTACCTTTACTCCAAAGCGGATCATTTTCATTAGTCCGATGCCTGCCTGTCTTGAGCTGAGTATGCTTGCCTTAAGTGCAATTTACTAAGGGTCGTATTCCAGAACTTTACTCAATGCTCAATTCATGATTTGAGTATGGTTTAAAGCACTCGAAATCATACTAAAGTCCCTGCCATTAGGGTCGTATTTCCAGTGCTTGTGTTGCCAGTGCAATCCTGACTTGAGCATTGCATAGAGTTCTAGAATACGACCCTAAATATACTTCTTATTAATCTACTTCTTTCACGAGTACTTCTGTTGGTGTAGTAAGAGGGTATGTGTCAAAATCTATTGATGCGTTGACGGTAGAACGGTAACCCCCGCAGACACGTAAAGATCCGTTATTTTTCTTAACAATACAAAGGAAGGGCTCATTTGGAATATTTGATTGGTGTCAAAACGGAATTCTCAATCATTTGACGCAGTTCAACTTTCATTTGCTGCTTCAGCTGGAGCATTCATGCGTGAGAGCGTCAGAGCAATTCATGAATGCGCAATCGCGGCGTCGTCTCGGAACGATCGTGTAGTGACGCTTGTGGCCCCGTGTATTCACTTAAACCTTCTTTAAACTAATTGCAAGTAATACCAAGCAAGCTTGGTCCCCTGCCGGCAACGACAAGTCCACTTTGGGTCACTTTATCGCTTAAAACCACTCATACGTGTGTCAACCCTGGCACTTTTAAGGGAAGCCCGGGTGCAAGTGACTAATTTCACAATTGTCAACTAATTAATTCATCATTTCGACATAATGAGGGTGGGGTCAACCGCCACATTTGGAATGTATCTTTCGATAAGATTGTTCTCGAGGATCCAGAATCAATTTCCATCAGTTATCTGTTATAAGATTAAGCATAAGATTTTGCAGCTCAGACGTAAAGGCCATTCATATTTTCATTACTCAACTCACATGAACTCTTGTCTTCGATTTGATGTACCCTGGCTTATTTCTTGTTACAAGCTGGAGCTGGGCCCATGCACGGTGGCCCATGGCGTTTACAATAATAACACTGAGCCTTTAATGAAAGGACACGGGACACCATTAATTTAGTTTGTGAACCCGGACACAATGCTTGCAATCCACTGATTTAATTTTATGTATTTCCATAACATTCATTTTATAGCGTTTGCCAAAGCGTACTGGCTTCATGGTACAAGTCCGGGAACGTCGCCTGGTAGTTGAGAGTCCCAAACGACACACGCATCCCAAGCACTAGTCTATCTCTCAACTGACGCTTAAGATCGGCAAAACTGCATTATGCACGGAGCAATCTAATTGCGCCGATAAAGTCTTACACGCTCTCGTGTTGTAATTGTATGCGTTTATGAAACTTTCCCGCTTGTCAAATTTCATAAATTTAGGCTCAAAAAATTGGTCCAAAACACAAATTCAAACGTACATAAATTATTGTATGTAGAAGTCAATAAAAATACACAACAAGTAACACAATATTATTATTTAGTCTCCTTGTTATCATAATGCATTAAAATAAAAACAAACATATACCTAATAGTAAATTAACAAATTATGGTTGAAATGTTGTAATTATGTTATGAATGTGAGTAGAGCAAGTCGTATGTGCCAACCATAGAGAGTAGGATGTCTGTGACTTACCTAAGCCTCCTGATGTATTGTGACTCGAGTTTAATCCTTCAGAGCCAGTAGAGTAGACAAAGTAAGTAGTTCCACCCACATTTTCCTACAAAGAAAAATGGGGATGTTTTGACGGTTTGGTCATGTAGAAAGAATGAATGTTGGCAGATTGATGGCACAGATTTATAGAGTGAATGTGGATCGAGATGTGGGGAGAGGTAGACCGCGGCGTACATATCTCAATCAGATTAGGAATATCCTTAAAGCAGGTCAGGTTAAAAGTACCAAGAATAAAAACTAACATGTATGAAGAGACCAATGGGAGTGGAGGAGGCAAAAGGGGTTTGTCAGGAGCATAGCAGGTGGTGTTCCATAGTCTCTGCCTTCCCCAGTGGTAGATAGGCGTGAGGATATGTATGTATGTAATTTCCAATGATGTTCATTATCGATTTTTACTACATTATATTATCCTTAACTATAATTAAAATTCCAACCAAGGGCATGTTGAACCTTACTCAATATAATTTTCCATTACAATGTGATTTTGGACTACAAACTTATGGTGCAGTTCGCTAAAATACTGAATTGGAAGGAATTACATGAAATCAAGAACTTCCTGGAACTAGATTGACTTCATAAAATAAATTGTTGGTTACGATTATTTTTGTTGTAATTTCATTTTATATTTGCTATTGATGTAGTTATTAGAAAGGTTCCTTCTTTTCAGTATGCTATACAGTCTGTCATCGTAATGCAGCATGTATGTTACTTTTCTCGTCTTTGTCACTGTCATACAAAGGTTCCAATACTTCCCATGTCATTTCTCCAGGGAAGTACTGGAACCATACCTATTTCTGCTGCCAAGCAGTAATGTAAGCATCACTGCAATCCAGTTGCGACAGGTGAAGGTGATGGTCAAACTACATGCAAATGAGGTTTGTCAACTTTACATCTCCAGGTGGTGGGTGCAATGGCAGTGCCCCTCAGATCTTTGTTATTAAAACTCTCAGTGGCACTGCAACTGTGATAGGCACACCACTTATCACCGGGCAGGTAACTTGTTAGTTCTGTCAGTTGATATCATAAGAAAGGTCCATAGTTTTAAGCTTTCTGTCAAAACAGTTCACAATAGATAAATATGCAATATAGGAATAGAAAGTGAAAAAGGCTGAAAAACCATTTCAAACAGGTGGCTTTTCCTATTACAAATTTTATATAAAACTGAATATTTAATTCTGTTTCAAACATCATAGACAAAAAATTCACCTGATGCACTTGTGGATGTGGTGTTGTAGGGGCTGGTCTAGAAGGAGAAGCATTATCTGAAGTCTCTGCAGTCACAGGATTGAGAAAGACATACTCATTGATCTGCACTGGCACCTGGACCTATATAAATAACATTTTTTAGTTTCAACAGCATATGATTTATGCCTAGTCAATCAAAAAATGTTGTATTTCAGTTTCCAGAGTTGCGACTAGCATACACAGACATTTTATATTATTTCACATTTACCCTACATCAGCCTAATTATTTTTCTTTTTGTATAAAAAAGCAGTCTACACACTAAGAGACTGAGGAGACTTACCCTGCTATTGGCATTGGGATCCTCTAAGGAAATCCTACTGAGTGCCTGAGTCAAAGGCCTCATAGATGTGGAAGTGGGAGTATGTTTCTAAAAAATATTAAGAAATTAAAAATCTATATATAGTTCAACACAGAAAACTCCAGGATGCACCGGAAAAATGCATTACCATATATGTCGCCAGCTTCGACTCTTGAGGCAGCCCGTTGGGCGCCGTGTAGTGAAGAAATATGGAAGGGTCCATCTCGTCGGCGCGAGACGTAACAGCTAATGGCCGGCAACAAATGAATAGGTATAAATCAGTGAGAATGAAGACCGATCGAAATCTATACATACATATAGTTTCATATAAATATATACATACCTAACTATTGATTACGGCTCGGCGACGCGACACCGTTAGGCCTACCTGTATTTTGTCACTAATAAAATATCATCATCTTCATTCGTCCCCTACACTTGGAGGTACACAGAAATGTCTAAAGGAATGTCTTGACATGATGATTTTCTTTCTTTTATAGTCCGTGACAGCAATATGTAAGTTTCACATGAAAACGTATATTGCTAAGACTACATTCCAAACACATGTCGCAAACTCTCAAGTCGATTTAAGACATTCTATCATTTATAATTTAACTATTATGACGGACGTAAGACTTTAGACGAATAAGATTAAAAATTTTATATATAAATACAAGGATCTAGGAATCACAGGGACACGAAGACAAATACATCAATAAATTACCAAAGAGAATCTACATTTTTTTATTTTTGTATCTGGCACTTCGCGGTTTGCGTTTGTGCCACTACAAAACGGGGAAACTTGTTTACGGAAAACAATGGAAAGGAAAAATAATTTGAAAGAAAAGATCAAGGAAGTGCCATTAAGGTTAAATAGAAATATGTAATAATATAACATGTTACAAATGTAATACGTAGCACTCGTACAGATCGAAAAATACTTTATTCTCGTTTGTTCACTTAACTGAACTAGCGAGACTTTTTCTCATTTGTTCAGTTGACTGAACTGTCTCCATTATTAGAGAAGTTCGGTGGTACCATAATATTGCATTGTCACCGAACATAACATACGTAGAGATGGGCGTTTAAACAAAATGCACTTAAAAAGTTTGCTTTTTAAAATAAGTGCATAAGCACGCTTTTCATTTTAAGCGTAAGCGTTGTTTTTAAACATAAAGTGTTTGCGCTTAAACGTTTTTCTAAACGACTTTTTAAGCGTCAAACTAAAAAGCATTTTAAATAAGCAGTTTTTCCATTTCAACCTTAGAGGATGGAAAAAAATAAAAGAAAGGAGCTGCCCTAAGTACAGAATCAACGTGCATATTACCAAAATTTGAAAGTTACAAATGGCGGATTTCTTTAGTGTTGTACCATAATCTATCGATAAGTCATTATCGACATGCAAATGTATGGCTTGAATTTTTGTTTCTTTAGTTTACTGTAACCAAAGTATGCCTAAACAAACACAAGTCTGATAATTTAATCTCGAGTGGTATATTATTATAAATGTCAACACACATTTTTAAACTTCAAAAAAAAATTATTTTCAACATTACAACTGGTAACTTATTTAGTAAAAGTCACCAAACTGCTGTGCAGTTTGTTGGCGACATGCGCATTCTTGCTTAATTATACCTACTTTACTTGTATTTAACATTACGTAGTATTAATTGTACTTACTAAATAAAATATAAAAATTACTTTAAGAGGTACGCCTTTAACCTATGTACATTTTAGTACATATTTACATAACGTCTTTTAACTAACCGTCAAGTACAAGTCTATTCAGGTTTCTGCGGATTCTAGTATTCCCGTTAATTCCCGGGCTTTCTTAAGCAAATGAATCTATCAAGCAATTTTAACACAGAAATAATGGAAGTAGTTGTAAAAATCAATTATCGGAAATCAACAATTATCATGTACTAGCTTTTCCCCACGATAAAATCCCCGCAATAAAGTTGCAAAAAAGAAATGACAAAAACGAACGTGGTGGATGCTGATTATTCCAGAAACAGAACAACATGACATTTTGTTGATATATAATATATACTTCTTTATTTTGTGTTTTGATTTTTTTTTGAATAGAGTTATAAAACCAGTATGCATTTCATATGCGGACGGACTAACGTGTGAACGCTATTGGTCGAGCGCCTTTGGTTTGTGATAAGCCGAATGAACTCTATACACGTTGGCGCTCGCCTTCACTCGGTCAGCTAGGCGAGTGACACCGAACAAGGCAAGGCAAGGCAAATAGGCTGTCTATACGTTGGTATGTTGTCATTGTATTGCAGGCTTTAAAAAAATAGTCATTTTTAATAGTTAGAGTTGTCATTGGGAAAAATCAGAAACGAGTGGATAATTTTGTTTTCAGGAACTGAGAATAGCTAGTAAATGAGTCTTGTTTAATCTAAATTGAACATAAAATTATTTACCAATAAACCTAATGATGGTATTCCATCATTTGGTCATGTAATCTAGTTACATTTAAAGTTGTTAAAATTTGACTCTTCAAAATGAAGCGAACAAATGAAGATGGTCTTTGATCCAACGTTTATATTCGGCAGTCCTATGATTTCCAACCATTCTTTCTTCCTTTTTTCATTTGTAGGAAAACTTGAAATAATAATAATAAAACAATAAAAACCTCATAGTGAATTGTTTTAATAACAGAATATCGATAATATGTATGCTTACAAGATCAACACTATCTCAAAATAATCGTTAACAACAATCATCAAAATATACAAACAAACAGGCAATCTAAAGTAACAAAAGCAAAATTTGGCAAGATTTATAAATGAACTACTTAAATAAGTCTAATTACATAAAATATTCGGGCTATTGTGTGATTTATAGACAAAAAAATAACACATGCCTGTGTATTGTAACATTCGATTGATTTGCAGTTTTTCTAAAGCCGCATCCTTTAATGCTGCAGCGTCGCATTTTTATTAATACCTAATTATTCTCACTGTCAATATTTTTGTCCAATTTAATTATAATACATGTGAATATTTCAATAATACATTTGGAAAAACATTGTTTTGACATTTGATGTACTTCCCTTTGACAACGGTATCATGTACCTCATGTACTTGAAATGGCCACGGTTGGCATTTAAAATGACGTTACGAATTTTCGATTCCCGTGTTTGACACAGACCAATGTAATGCTATCTCTTTTGGCTTAAGACGGCACGTAATAGTTAAACAAAGACAATAATATGTTTATGTTTTCGACGTCGAAATGCATCATATACATATAACGTCTGATTTATATATGTCAACGTAACATGTCCTTTAGTTTCCATAGTCTAAGATTTCAACCTTATTTCAACGGTTAACAACTATAAAAGATAAACAACTTATTTTTTTGAACGCTTTTAAACGCCAATGAACAAAATGTTAATATAATAATGTTATGTCATAACAAAAATATAACTAGATTTTTTACTAAAAAAATTACTTATCTTAATAAATTTAGTGGTCTATTCTTGCGTTTCGCTATCGACACAACATTGCAAGCTTTTTTAACATAAAAGTCTATGCGCTTAAACGTTTTCTAAACCATTTTGTTAGCTTACTAAAAAGCGTTTAAGTGAAAAAGCGTTTAAAAAAAGCACGCTTTTTTTAAAAAAGCATAACGTTTAAACATTTAAAAAAATAAGCAGTTTTTCCCATCTTTAAACATAAGTATGCCAAATCCCGAGTCAATCCAACCCGTGGGGTCGTATTCCAGAACTCTACTCAATGCTCAAGTCAGGATCTGAGTATGATTTCAAGCACTGGAAATACGACCCTAATGGCAGGGACTTGATTGCGATATCAAGTGCTTTAAACCATACTCAAATCCTAACTTGAGCATTGAATAGAGTTCTAGCATACGACCCTGAGGGTCGTATTCTAGAACTCTATTCAATGCTCAAGTCAGGATTGCACTGGAAACACAAGCACTGGAAATAAGACCCTAACAGCAGGGACTTGAGTATGATATCAAGTGCTTTAAACCATACTCAAATCCTGACTTGAGCATTGAGCAGAGTTCTAGAATACGACCCTGAGACTATCGACCGATAGAAATGGGTGACATCTGGGTGAAAATTTATTTAAAAAAAATTTATATTGAGACAGGTCCAGCAAAAAAACTTATTTTATTTTCAATTGTGCAAACAAGATAGAAATTCTTTATAGTTCAATCAACTAACTGAACTGGACAACAGAACTACAGTAGAGAGAAGATGGACAACTGAACCAGTGGGAATAAAGGAAACAAAAATCTCTACTAAACCACGGGCAAAAGCTTGTTTTATTTTCAACTGAACAAACGAGAAAAAAAATCTCGTTAGTTCAGTCAACTGAACTAATGGGAATAGACCATGAATATACGGATTATTTCCGCATTTGTAATATGCATAGATCTATAATATAATTTAGTATGTCCAATTCTACAACATTGAAAACACTGTACTGTGGGATACGTATATGACTGCTCCAGATTAATTATATGTAGGGGTAGTTGATATTACCGTGTCAACTCGTATCCTAATATATCTCGGAACAAACAACTTGTATATCATTGAAAGCTGCGAAGATTCAGTAAAGTCTATTCTTTATGGTGGCCATCTTGAATTTGCCATATTTGATTCCGGTAGAACCATCCTCTAAGGGTAGAACCTTAAAGAAACATAAGTATGTCAATTTCCGAGTCAATCCGACCCTTATCCGACCCTTAGACTATTTTTTTCCATCCTCTAAGATCCGACCGATAGAAATGCACTCATTTCTATATGGGTGACATAAGGGTGAAAATTTATTTAAAAAAAAATAAGATATTGAGACCGGATCCGGCAAAAAAAACTTGTTTTATTTTCAATTGTGCAAACAAAATAGGAATTCTTTATAGTTCAATCAATAACTGGACTGGACAACAGAACTGCTGTAGAGAGAGGATTGACAACGAAACTAGTGGGAATAGAGGAAATAAAAAATCTCAACTAAACCAGAGGCAAAAGACAATTCCCATATTTTTCCATCCCTTAAGGTAGAATCTGACCAAAGTACCTGATTACTTTTATTTGAGAGTCATGTGCCCATCTCCGACGCTTTGGCGGGCAGCCTTTCCTACCTGACGCGGAGCATTATTCCAAGATTTCCGGTTCTTCTCGTACTTACTGAACCCTTTTGACCTCTAATCGGGTAAATAATTTTAAACGAGCTATATATATTTCTTCTGGGAGAACAATTACTTAAATGTCAGTGGTAATCGAGCTACCTACGTACAGTTAATGCCGTCTAGCACATGTAGACTTTTTGGTAGTCCGTCCATCAAAAGTTTAACAATAATTTCAATATTAGTAAATTCAGCATTCCCATTTTTTATTTTTACGTCTGGTACGCCTTATTTTAATTATTACACATAATGTACAGAAACATTGTCCAATATTCTCTCTGACCAACCAGCAGGGACCCCTCGTGAAATGCCCGTTCTCGTTTCAGTAATTGTTGGAATAAAAGCTTTTAATTTGTAAGTCTCTAAACAAGGATTACCCATAGAATAATAACGCAAACAATAAGAGTTTCATACACAGACCACATATTTCTTTCTTCCGTGCTTTCATATCAAACGAACTATCACAAGTGAGGCAAAAATCAAATTCATGTAGGCGTAAGCAACTTGTATTTTATGCTCTTTGACACGCAACAAATATACAAATAATGATGCCATTGAATAACATTTCCCTCAAAAGTAGGGAAATTGTATCTTGCTTAATTCATCATTAAGTTAATAAGTACTACCCAATTTAATTCTGATAATGACTCCTAAAACCTGAAACCTAAAAGCGTAAGTGCGACTATCGAATTTGACCATATAAATAGCCTGATATTATCTGTAGAATGTGTTTACACATGAAAAGTTCATGATAACAATAAAAGAACCTGAACTTGAAAGTTCAATTGAATTTGAATTTATTGAACTTGAATTTATACATGACTTTGGAGAACTAATGATGATTGTTTTAGTCAGTGTTAGTTTCCTGAACTTTTGAGTCTGGTCAAGACAATTTTTGAAATGAGTCCGGTATGATGAACTAGAATAATGATTTTCACATGAAACTAATGAAGGCAAATACTAAAAATGTTCCGTAAAAATAGCTATGTTAAATTCTCTACAGTATTATCGCGACTGTGTACATTTGTAGAAATTCTGCAACCGTCGCGATATTGCCTATTCTCAAAAAATTACGTAATATAATTTTGAAACAGAATAGCAAAATGAGGAGAAAAAATTCGTTACTTTGCAACATTTTCGTATCTTCTTGCAACGAAATTAATTTTCTGTTTTTAGTGAATATTTACATAATAAATGCAAGTTGAAACGCGTTACTTTCTTGTGGAATGTGATGTTTAGTATCTGTTTTATGTTTATCTGATGTATTTTTATCTTAGAGGACGGAAAAAATAAATAGTCTAAGATTTTTACTCATTTACCGGACATTTCTTTATTTTTAAATTTTCCGGAAACATTTCCACTATATGAAATTTTTCAGAAAGTTACTCAACAGTAGATAAATCTAAACTTGAACATAATGTGAGTCTTCGAATTATATTATTCCAATTTTTCAGACACTTCTGAAAAATTTCCACTATTTTAAATTTTTCGAACAATTACACAACGCTCTGTACCTAGTGGGTCATGGAAAAATTTTCATTTTGAAAAAGTCATATTTTTCAGAAAAATTAATATTTTTCCGGATATTTTTCCAATATTTTTCCAATATTTTTCCTTTATTTTTGCACATTTGACGTTGACACCTTTCAAAATGAAGTTACTGAACGTAAACGATGGAGCCAATAACAAATGGTGGTGGTGTGGTAGTTGACGGTCTTTTTTCTCTGTTGTGAAATCACTTAATAGAAATCTTCTTGTTAAAGATTTATATATTAAATATATAAATATAGATCGAATAAAAGGTAATAGAATAAACTCAGCACAGTGAAAGCAATGTATGTTTTATATTCAGTGACAACACAAGTTACAAGGTTACCATGGAAACAATCTTTATGGTAGGCACAAAACATTAAGGCTTCATGCCTTAACATCCAGCCCTATTTTCGATGCCTGGGAGGTTGCAAAGCTCTAGGACCCTGGGTCCATATAAGGACTTCGTTAACATATCAGCTAGTTGCCTAGCTGCCGGTACTTTGCACACTTCGATGATGCCATCTGTTACACATTCTCATATAAAGAAAGATCTTATTCTTATGTGCTTCGTTCTTTAACGAAATTCATATGGCGTATTTCTAGTCTAATTGCAGGCACATTGTCGTGGGACAATCCTCATTTGTGATATCTTTTATAATCCTCTTTAGCTAGATTATTTCACCAGCTGTTTCACTAGCAGCTATAAGTTCTGCTTCCATAGCCACGGTAGATTGCCGCTTTCTCTGCCAAAATATTGGTCCTCCTCTTAATATTCGCTTTACGACATCATACGGACATCCTCTTTTGAGGGATTATCAAGATTTCGTGGTACGACACTTACAGCATACAGGGTCCGTCCCAAAAGTATCGAACATTTTTCAGGAAAAATACTTTTATTGAACTTATCGGTACCATACATTAGTACTCTTCAAAATAACACCCTTCAGCATCGATGCACTTTTGTAGGCGAGTTTTCCATGCCCGGAAGGCCCCCTGGAAGACGTCAACGGGTAGGTCCTTCAGCGCCCTCGTCGTAGCTTCTTGGATGTCCTTAATTTTGTCCTTAATTGAAACTCCTCGGTCACGATGCGATGCACGGTCGACTTGGCGATGTTGAGGGTCTGTGCTATCAACCGCACTCCTTGACGACGATCCTCGTTGAGAAGCTGACGCACACGGTCAACGTTCTCGTCGGTCCGCGATGTTGAAGGACGACCAGAGCGGGCTTCGTCGGTCACCTCTTCCCTTCCGTCACGGAACATCTTGTGCCACTTCCTGACCGAGGATTCGGACAAGGCTTTGTCCTTGAAGGCCTGTTTAATCATCTCGTTGGTTTCCACAGTATTTTTGCCGAGTAGAACACAAAATTTCACTGCGTACCTCTGTTCTAACGGATCCGTCATCGCGCTACTTTTAAAAACTTCGACGAGGTGTCGTTTAGAGCTCTACGCGAACGCACGTCCTGCCGCTCCAGGTGCTCGGAGCCAACTGGGACCGGTCGCGCTGTATCGGCTAGATCCCCCCACCACTTTCTGTTGCCAAGCGGAGCGCTTCCCGCCGTTCGGCAACACTCCCAAAAAAAATGTTCGATACTTTTGGGACGGACCAGATATGTAATATCTGGTCTTGTACCTGTCATGAGCTAATGCTCCCACTACTTGACGATAAGGAAAGGTCAAAAAATTATCTTGATCTTTATAGGCTTTATCTTTCGCTTTATCGTTCGACTTTACGATCGGTGTAGCAATAGCTTTACAATTCTCCATGCCAATATTTCTAGAACGGGTTTAGTGTACGCTTTTTGCAAATAGAACCATTTGATTTCTTTTCTATTTCCATTCCCAGAAAATAGTTTGCTGGTTTGCTTATAATTTTAAATCGTTTTTCCAGCTCTTCTACGAACGTTTTCGCTTCTTTGTCATTTATTAAAGCGAAGAGACCGTCGTCGACATATAGGGCTAAAACAATTTTAGTTTTACCTCGTTTTCTAATAAACAGGCAGTGATACGCTGTACTCCGTTTAAATCCAATTTCTATAATGTAGTCGGTAATACATCGATTCCAACAGCGGGGTGGACTAAATTCCATACAGGGTCTTTTAACTTAAACACAAGCTTACTATCAGTAGTGGACCCTTGTGGAGGCTTCACATAAATTTCCTCATTCATCTTTCCATATAAGAAGGCAGTTGAAACGTGGAATTGGGCCAGATACATATTTTCCTTAGTAGCAATTCCTAAAACTGTTCTTAAGGTACTGTTTCTCGCTACAGGACTAAAAATCTCAAAAAAATCCAAACCTTTCTTCTGTGAATACCCTTAATCACCAATCTGGTCTTGTACTTGTCCAAAGTACAATCAGGTTTAGTTTTGATTTTGAATATCCATTTGCAAGGAATGGCTTTCCTGCCTTTTAGTAATTCGACTGAATCCCAAATTTCGTTTTCTCTTAAGGAATTTATTTCATTCATTGGTAAGGGCTTCTTGCCATTTGTCACGTTCTGCTCTAGACATAGCTTCTATGAAAGTTTTAAGATCGTCAACAAATGCATTTGATGTCATGTTGCAGATAAAATCTTCGTACCGACTTGGAGATTTGAGGGTAGGCCTGTTTCTAAGAGTCATTCGAGACGACTGTTCAATTTCATTTTCAGAAAGTTCGCCGACATCATTATGTATGTCTTCCTCAATTTCAGGTTCTATAGTGTCATGGAACTGCTCTGACTCCTCGATATCTATTCTCTCTATCCACTTGATCATCTTGCTCTTGTTGTATATAAACTTCTTTCTCAAACGATTCATTGTACTGTGATGATGAGGGCATCGGTTCATTTTCAGATACTCTCCTGCCTTGAGCATCATCCTGCTGTACAATATTTTCTATGGACGTCTCTTGTTGGAACTCTGGTAGCTCACTTTGAAATGTTTCATTGGTTCTAGTTTTTTTTAATGTAAGTGTGCATTTGAGTTGATGGTGGACGAATTCAAGGAATGTGCTTCTCGTCTGTCAATCCTAGTAACGGTTCTCTTCAAACGTTACATCTAGATCTGATCAATTTAATTGATTTTATCCCAAATCCTGTGGCCTTCATCTCCATCATAACCAAATAATATTCCTTTCTGAGCTTTTGGCAAGCTTCTTGCGACTTATTTTGGGAATGTGTCCATAGCATTTACACCCAATGATTCTAACATGTTTTATACCAGGTTTCTTTTTAAACCATAACTCACAGTATGATTTTCCTTCTACGCTTGATGGACCAATGCGGTTTAAGATATACGCCGCAGTGTTAATGCTTCCCGCCCAAAGACCTTGAGGTATCTCCTCATGAGCGTGCATCATAGATCGTGCTGCTTCTACTATCATCCGATTCTCTCTTTCGACGCGTCCAGCTTGTTCGTGTGTGTGGGGTAGCGTTAGTCTCTGTCTTATGCTATGCTCGTGTAAGATCTTCCGGAATTTCTCGTTATCGAATTCTCCTCCATTATTGATCAGGATTTCTTGAACAGTGTGTCCAGCAACTTTGGCTTCAGCTAACATCAATTTAAGCTTTGACCAAGCTTCAGATTTCTGTTTCAGAAAATATATGTGTCGATAGCGAGTGAAGTCATCTTTGTACATTAGGTAATATCGGAACTTACTAATCGAGTGCGGAAAAGGTCCACATATGTCGGTATGAATTAGCTTTCCAGACTGAGTAGCTCGTATTCTTGTACCAAACGTCATCTTATATGTTTTTCCATATACATAGCCTTCACACAGATCTGTTTGATTATCCTCCACTTTTAATCCGAATTCTTTTTCTATTACTTTCTATTACTGCGTTACTTTCTGTCTTCGGTGACAGATAATCAAGTCTTAATTTACATAGCCCTCCATTAATTTGTCGTGTACCAATTAACGTATTCCTTTCAGCTGTATTTGGTGAGTGGTCATGTGCAGCAAGAACAGAAAAAAGTTTTATCTTGATGCACGGGAGATACCATACATCTTTAAGTTAAATTTGCTCTCGTCTTCCAGAAACACCAGCCTCAGCAAGGATATTTCCTTTTCCTAATGCTTCTATGGTTTGCCCATTGGCAGCAGTAACTGTATATTAACCTTTAAAATATTCAAATATCTCGTAAAGATAACCTTTATTCGTTACACGGTTTGTCGCAGCATTATCTACGAACCAGTTATCTTTATCTGGGACTTGTGAAATATCAACGGTCAATGCCTATAGGATAACATTGACGTTAGACGCGGTTTTGGGTGGCCTTCCGTCTGAAATCCATTTCTTGCACTGTCTTACTTGATGTCCAGGTAGTCCACAATATTTGCATTTCAATTATTTTTCTTACCTTATGAAGATTTCATGAATAATGCCGTTATCTTCATTTTTGTTCTTTAAGGTTTTTTCATAGGTACATATTTGGGTAGTTAGATTGACCATGGTTCTGTCCTTTTTAGTCATAAGTAGCCAGATTGATTTAAAAGCAATAATTCTTCCGGTAAAGTGTCCAAAATCTTGCAGATAAGTAGCATGTCCGGTAATTTTCAATCTAAGTGACAGTTTAATTCATGCCGGATATTCTTTAATGCAGAAATATGATTCACCACATCATTTGCTGTCTCTTTCTTGTAACTGAAGAATTGTGGATGTAGATCATAGCTTTTATTTACACTATTTTCTCCGTATAGCCTATATCACACTTCCCATACCTCTTGTGAACTTGTCAAACGCATGACAAGATTTAAAATTTCATCTGTCACATTTGTCGTCATGAGAACTAAGGCTGCCGCCTGTAAATGTCATTAATTCCTGTAATTCTATTTCATACTTAGCTTTCACAGCTTCTGATGCCTCTGCAACTGGTGTTTACGTCCTACATCGCCTGCCTTCGCTGATATCTATGGCTCCAGTGATGGCCTTATTCACCATCATTATCCTATACTTCCATGATATGAAGTTTTTTGAATCTGGGTGTCCTATCTATACCCTAGATGATTCTAGAATCGCCTTATCCATAGCTGTTGACAGCTGCTACAGATTTCACCATATGAATTTTTCTTTTCGTAAAAAGGACGGAATCGGAAAAATTATTTCCCAGAATAAAACTTCTTTCCTAATGCTCTGCTACCATGTTAATGATTTATATATTAGATTTATAGGATCGAATGAGAGTTAATAGAGTAAGCTCAGCACAGTTAAAGCAATGTATGTTTTATACTTAGTGACAACACTAGTTACAAGGTTACTATGGAAACGATCTTTATGATAGGCACAAAACACAATAAAGGTTTCATGCCTTAACACTTCTCTGAGTCGTATTCCAGAACTCTACTCAATGCTTAAGTCAGAACTTGAGTATGATTTATAGCAATAGAAATCATACCCAAGTCCTTGCCATTAAGGTCGTATTTCTAGTGCTTCTTTAATCATACACAAGTCCTGACTTGAGCATTGAGTAGAGTTCTGGTATACGACTTTCAGAGTCGTATTCTAGAACTCTACTCAATGCTCGAGTCAGGATTGCATTGGAATCACAAGCACAGGAAATACGACCCTAAGTGGCTTTTTGCTATACAAGTTTATTTTAAAACTCAAAACATACTTCGAAACGTAGAACATATTATGAGCCTACCAAACATCCACCAATTTATATTTTTCAAAATATTCCATTTTTTCAAAAATTTCCAAAATTTGAAATTTTTAGGAAAATTACCCAACAGTAATCCCTAGTGAGGATCAGTGCGAACTGCGCACGCATATTGATTTTTTATCTTGTCTATGGTCAGTCAGTGAGTGAGTAATTTGAGCAACTCATCTCGCCAATCAATCAATAGCTGTCGGTTCCTTGTCATTGTCAATTTATTTTTCATTTCAATAGATTGCAGCGAGATTGTCTCGTCCAAGTAATTCCTTGTTCTTGGTCTAAGGCGCAGTAAATAGTGATATTTGTTTATTTTTTCATTACGAACATTACAGAACCGAAATTTAATCACTACAATAAGGTAAGACACAAAGATACAATGGAAAAAACTTGGTTTTACCACGTATACAATAAACGTACATTAGTCACCCATATCTTAATTTAATTGTGATAAGTGCGTACATTTAGCTTATTATCAGCTTTATTTAGTACTTGATTGTTAGTAAATGAAATTCAGGGGGTATATCTTGTATAGGCTGTTTAAGTTTATAATTGATGTATATTTATCTACATACATGAGAATATCGTTCAACGAAATGGCGGACTGATTGTTTTCGATCAGTCATAAAATTTTTGTCCTTAAAACCATTTGTGACATTCCTATATTCGAAGTGCTGAAATATATTGGTATCAACTACTGTAACTCATTATTTTCACGCAGGATGGAGAGTTCGTATCAAGGGGGAGTGTCCTTGGAGGACTCCAGCAGCAAATTCCAACAGCTGTCCCAGACTATAACCAGTAACATCAAGAAAATATCACAAAATGGTAACTTACATTATCTTTTGTCATTAGGACATTTTTTTGTTTGTTATCATCAGAGATCAGAATAGGTATTGTATATTTACATAAACATCAAGGAAGTAAAGCATTGAGAATACCTCCCTCTGAAAACTCGGAATTAGTGTATTATTATATATATTATTATATATATATATTATTCTGTATTTTTTATATTTTTTGAGTATAAAAGTGTAAAAGTTTTGTATTTCTATTGTATATTGTTTTGATATTTTGCTTTTTATTGTTAACCATTCTGGAATTGTTGAGGGAGGTATTTTCCATGTTATGTGTATCACTTGAATTTTTGGTAAAAATACTATTACCTAATTAAATATGTCTTAAACCAATGCTTAAATTGATGAAGCTCACACAACATATTAAGTGTCTTTTGCATTGCAGACATTGGTTTCAGTCATGCAAAAAATCATGTTTATAGAGTGTTTATTAATTAATGCTCATTTTAGTGCATTTAAACAAAACATAATTTTGAAGTTTGAAAATCTTTTCAACTGAAAATGATGAATGATGTATGATGGCCAATCTCAAACAGTGGAGAGGCTTTAAGAAGACTTTAAGAAGATTAACTAAAAATCCAAATAACTTTTTGAGGTACTCATACGCATTAGCCGTTCAACAATAATAATTGTTTGCCTAAATGGTGTCATCATATTAAATCTACAGTCCATGGCAGAACAAAACATCTGTAATCTAGGTACAACAATTCAATGAGTGACATGTTAGTATTGACTCAAGGTTGTCTGTCCACTGACTTTCACACTCACTAACCTGTGTTATATATAAGCAATATTATGGTAAAGTGCAGAGAAAGTGTTACAGAATCAATTTAGATTAATACTGAAAAAATTAATGTGAGAGGGTGTGTGTGTAGGAGTGCATGTGGGCGTGCGCGTGCTTGTGTGTGAGTGCGCGCGCATTGGTGTGTGTATGCGCGGGTGCATGTGTATAAGACTGTGATAAGGCACAATCATGTGTGTTATCGCACATTTACTTGGATTCCATCTTTTATTGTATCCATCTTCTTTCTTTGTACTGACTACTAAACATACAATTAGTAGTAAACATACAAATAAAAGACTTTATTATTATTTTTTTATTTAAATACAATATTGGCCACTTTTTGTTTTTTTTTTTATTTTGTTGTTAAACTCATGATATATGTTTATTAATAGAAATATATTGTCAACTTGAAAAATAAATATAAAGACAAGATTGTCCAATGGGATTATGTTATGCATCAAGTACTAAGGAACTAAATATATTTACATTGAAGATTCCAATTACCTGATGCGTACATAGCTCCGCACTAGGGAAACCCTGTGTCGCGGGTGCCATGGACCGTTCGGCCATGGAGGCATTTAAACTGTTAAACTGTTGGGTAATAGTTAAGGTTATTGTAAATATTATGTCTTCAACTTCTACAAGCTGTTTGTGTACTAAAATTTATCTTTAACTTTGACGCAGTTTTGTTTCACTTCACTTTCTCATTAATACGAGCGAAATTCTTCAACATGTTTCTCAGAATGTCAAAAATTAATCAGTACAGCTAATCAAATAATTTAATAAAATAAAATAATTTAAACCGTGGAAAATACAAAAGCATTTTACAGTTTAAATTTATTGAAAATGTTAATAAAAAATTCATGTAATTAACTCATTGTTAATTACTTCATTAATAATAATTTAACTGCTAAGGAACTGCTAATAAAATCAAATATAAATGTTATATAATGTAATTTTAATTTATTAATGGGTATACCTAAATAATCAAACATCTTGTTCTTTTTTGAAAGTTTCATCATCTTATTTTTTTTTTGATAACCTGAATTTAGTTTATACCGTTCATCTGATACAGTGACATTTGCTTATTGCTTATATGTATATATAAAACAAGAAAATAAATAAAAAACCATGGTTATTATTTTACTTTTTAACAATATGGATAGTCACATTATACAGCGTACACACTCTATGCAAAACGAATTAAATTCCATTTTAATTTGGTCGAGCGTATTGTCTGGCAATGCGACATACTTCGTCGTAGCAATTTCTTGGAACGTTATGGATATTGTAGAGTGCAATAAAATTTCGCAACACTTTTCACCACATCGCGTTTTCTCTTTGACAGTGTCGTCGATGTCTAAGATGGTCAATCAGCTTCAGACACCTCAGGACTCACAGGAGCTCCGAAACCAATTGTAAGTTTCTCATGCATGCTCTGTGTGGTTTCACACCAGGATCATTCTGCCGCTGATCGACCATTATAACAAATGTTTTCGAAAAGAGTTCTATTTCATTATCTTAACTAGGTTCTGAACTTTCTAGACTGGAAATTGGTGTTTGTATGTGAATTCATAATTTTATCCTGGTTATTTAGTTTTTCCTCAAAGTGGTACTATACGTAAAGTGTAAATGTGACAGAATTTATGGATTTCGGAAAATAGACGACTTGCTACAATTTGGCCTGTTAGACTAATGTGATGGTGACCCAGGTTTTAACCATTGCATATTCTACTAAGACTTGCGAAAGACCAGTAACACTGGGTCTCAACTAAAAAATGCAGATGGCAAAATTCATTGATTAAAACTGTGTGTGTTATGTTATTTACATGGTTTTGAAAGCAGTAAATACTATATTTATATATTATATTTTTTTCTAGTTTAACTTGTGGTTCCGTGTATTACAGGCATAGGTAGCAATAATAATATTTATAATTTGTAGAATGGTCGATCATTTTGTGGTATTATCGATTTGAATTTTGAATTGTCAATACGCGAAGGAAAGTTTGAATTTATTAATATTAACGCTCCAAACAGGCGTCAAATTCAGAACTACACGCAGAAATTGGTCAAGGACACGTCGGCTTTAATCATGGAGATGATGAAGCTGCCTGTGGAGCAGCCTACGCAACGCATCGTCCGCGAGAGGCTCAGCGATGAGTACATGGCCACGCTTAACGCATTCCAGGTACTACCAATTAATTAATGCACGTCGACTATTTGTCTTTCAAGTATTTAACAGAAAAAAAATTAACCAGGGATTGAATATGAGTACCTACCTACAAAGCAGACTATGAATTTAGGAACTATTTATTGAAACGAAAATGTCTTGGATAATATCATTTATTTTACATTTTATTTTCAGTCAACACAAAGGACTGCTGCTCAAAAGACGAAAGAAGATGTGAGAAAAGTGAAAGCGCAGTCTTTCAAGATCGGCGATCCCTTCGCTATGGGCAGTGAGTATTGTTTTGACAATCGGTGAAGATCTTTAAAAATCCAATGCTGTGGATTGTACTTCTGTGGATGAAGTTTGGGTTTGGCAACTGTAGGCAACTTGCCTACAAGTAGGCAAACAACATCAACTTATGTTGTAAATGATGTTTTAACAGGTGGTAGCAGTAGAGACCCTCAGTTATTGGAAATGGATGAGACCACTACGCAAAAGCAGGAGCAGATGACAATGCAGACCGAAAGGGAACTGCAAGAGCTCGAGGAACGCGAACAAGACATCAGGCAGCTCGAGGTAAATAACTTTATTTTTACTTTTTTCTTTTTAATTTCTGGGCATCGAGCAAATAATTCTATTAAGTTCAATAATTGCAGTCTCGCCACAATAACGCTGATATACTTTGCGGGTTAATGTTCCGTGTACAATCGGATTTCTATGGCTTGGTCGTAAACAGCCATTTTGAGCCTTGCAGTTAAAGTATTATTAAAGGCCGACTTAGTTCTGACAGGCTGACCTCTTGCCATGTTGAGAAACATTTTAATTCTTGTTTATGGTCAAAATTAGCTTGTCAGCGTTTACAGTATCATAAAGTTAACTGAAAAGATCTGTACCTTTTATATCAAAGTGTCATTGTATTATTGTATCATCAAACATATTATTATGTTATTTATTACATGAAAGTGAATTAAAAGTTATTGTCTTTGTATTAATTTGTAGTATAAACATTTATTTTATCAAAAATTCAATTAAAATATTTTAGCGCACCGAACTTCGTTGTAATGGTGGTGGTTATCGGTATTCGCATTGCAACATGAGCGCTGTAAACATTAATTGACCCACGCTGGTACACGAGTTGATTTCATCATATAGCATGTAACTCCTTGAAAATTATAATTAGTAACAGTTGTATAGCACTGATATGGATATTTTTTATTGTAAAACCGTATTAGATATCAACGGTTACAATGTTTCTAATTAATTATTTTAAAAAATGTTACACCAAAATTTGACATGTTATCGCATATTCACAATCAATTTATGATACAAAATTAGTCACTTTGTCCTTTAATTTAATAATATAGAATGCAGTTACAAAGTGCTGCAATTAATATAAATCAGAAATCAGAAACATTTATTGTATGAATTGGTAAAATACAGGTGTTACTTACAAGTGATTAGATCTACAATTCTTACCCAAATCAGGCATACAATGTCTTAAAATTACAATTCTATTAAAATTTATTACAACTTAAATGTCAAAAATTAAAATTATAATTAAGTTAGTTATACAATTGTCAAATATTTGATGTCTTTATATAAAATTCGTTAAGATTGTAGAAAACTTTGTCAATTAACCAATTTTTTAAAAAAGCTTTAAATTTATCACCATTTGAACATTTCATTTCCATTGGAAGTCTGTTATAAATTCTAATCGCTGTTACATAGGTGCTGCGGTCAAAGATGGTGCTGTTTATTTTAGGGAGGACAAGACGGTCCCTGTTTTCTGACGTTAACGGAGTTTACATTACATATTTTAGTAAAGAATTTACTGTGATTACGTATTTCCAAAATATTTATTCCTGTTAAAGTCAGGAAACCCTTTTCTTTGTACAGACTTAGAGAATAGTCACTGGCTTTTTATATTGTGAATATTTTAACCGCATTGACAGAGTTTCCCCAAAAAATTACACCATACATTAGTAACGGGTATACGTTCCCGTTATATGCGTTTTTTGCAACTTCAACCGACGCTACATCGACCAATACAGATAAAGCGTAGCAATAACTACCAAGCTTGTTATTTAGCACATCTATGTGATGTTTCCAATTTAAGTTTTTATCTATAGTAATACCAAGAAATTTAGTATTATTTACCTCATCAATAACATCATTTTCACAAGTTATGTGTAAATCTAAGTCAATTTTTTTGTAATTACCAAAATTTGCATATATTTTGTTTTAGAATTATTTATTTTTAAATTTAGTGATTTAAGCCAGGTAGTAAGACCGTTAAATGTATTGTTTATGTCACATTCATAGTCAATTTTTGTTTTTCCGTTATTAGTAAATAATATTGTGACATCATCAGCGAACATAATAGGTATACAGCGTGCATAACACTGAGTAAGTTGTGGCAGTTCATTTATATATATAAAAATAAAGAGAAGAGAACCCAATACACTTCCCTGTGTGGCAATTCGGAAGAAGAGCTATAGGCCTGTAATTTTCTGAGACTTCTTGGGAACTTTATTTATGTAAAGTTTTTATTAATGATATCTTAATTTTATCAGGAAAGTAGCCTGTTTGTAGCATTAAATTAATTATATGTACTAGCGGCAATATAATAATGTCACTACTACTAACACTAGCCTTAATTACTTGCATTGAAATACCATCGTCACCACAACTTCGTTTACTTTTGATAGTTTTAATTATATATCGAAGTTCCTGTTCATCAACTGGATTCAAATATACGCTCTTACTTTCATGTTCTTGGGTAGATTTGTAATTATTAACAAAATTGGAATTAATACTTTGTATGTATAAATAATTTCTTGGTGGGTATGTATGAACTTGGGATGCCTCCGATGTGGGTATCGTACGTCATACGACGCGACGTCTGCAGATGCAGACACGAATATTTTCACCTCCACAGCTGCAGATGCGAAAAATAGGACTTTTTTCAGAGTATGTATCTTGAAAAAAAAACTTGCTCCATATTTGCCGATCAAGCTTGGTGATAATACAAAGCCATAGAAGGAATATTACATGTATTAATACTAAAGTTTATGATGGGCAAATTACACTTTATAAATAATAATTTTGCAGCTTTTTCGGATTTTGCTGCTTTTTCGGCACTTAGTCTATTTCTAACACAGAGGAATAAATAAATGTTTTTTCCGTGATTTCTAAGTAGATCGTAAATTAAACTATCGCTATCGCTGCTTAAAAGCTGTTTATTTGGTTGTCTTTCCTAATAACACTTTATAAAAGTGTCGTCATCGTTTATACTTTAACTTGTTAAAATCAGTAAACAAAATGTTCCTAACTACCATGCGCGTAACGTAAGTCAACGTAAATTCAATAATTTTGTTTATCGGTCGCACCTGCACCGCAAGTTGCCGAACTCTCGATCCCTGGTTGGTTAATTAGGGCTTTGCGTAAGGTCAGTTCCTGACGATCTTGTCGTGACCTGCAGAATATGGCAACATACGAATGTAGATTTTTTTTAAATGTATGCAGACGGTTACTTATGCGAATGCAGATGTCTGCGGATTCCCTAATATGTACACTGTACTAACTTGAGTCATCATTTAATTATAATAATGTACCAGACAACAATGTGAAGACGGTCTAAGCCCGCTTCAAAAGACACATTCTCGTAATAGAAGGTGATGAAAATAAAAATATTGCTACGTACTCTTACTCAGATAATGAAAATAAATTAGGAAATGAAACTATTTTTCCGGATTTAGATCGCGTATATTTGTTTTTTCAAACAAAAAGACGTTTCGGGCCCTTTACAGGTCACGGTTGACTTGAGTGTCAACCATGACCATGGAAATCCGGAAAAATAGTTTCATTTCCTATGTGTAACAATCGCGAAAACCTAAGAACTCGAAAATAAATTACGTATATCATACGAACAAACGAATACATTTGTAATAAATAAGTGATGGTACACTAATACTCAGGGTAGTATTCGCATGTTAATCGTTTTGGTTATTGTCTTACATTTTCCGTTTGCAGAGCGACATCATGGATGTGAACCAAATTTTCAAAGAGCTGGGTCAGATGATCCATGACCAAGGTGCAGTAGTGGATTCCATTGAGTCAAGCGTAGAGCACGCTTCTCAAAACGTAGAGGCCGGCGCACAAGAATTGCACCAGGCTGTCAACTATAAGGTGCGTAAAATAAACCTTGAAACTCTCAAGTATTTTCTTTTAAACCCCTCTGTCGAAAACTCTGCTAAATAACCCTCGCTACTACTGAGAATTATGGAAATTTTGATTTTCTTCTCAGAACAATTTGCTTTTTTGAATGACCCCTTAGTCTAGCTTAAATAAGTTCTACTACCATATATCAATTTTTCACTGGAATATATTCACAAACGAATTTAGCCTGTTCCAGAACAAGTTGCGGAGGAAGAAGGTATACTTGGCGATAATCCTGATAATAATTATCTCGATAATCCTGATCCTAGTTTTCCACAAGTGATTCTAGTACACCTAGAGTATGACCATAATCTGGATCGAGCGATACTTTATGGAATAAGCCCAGAGGAATACGGTGAGCTCATACACGCGCTTTATGCAAACCCGCCCGCAACGCCCGGATGACTTCATGTTACGGAACGGAAATTGTTCCGTGAAATGATAACTTTTGGGCATAAATCTGGAATGTTCTGGCGAACTACAGTTCTTACTAAAATTAGATTTTTGGCCTTTGACAACGATTTTGGAATTACTATTTAAATGTTTTCATTTTTAACCTTAATAAAACTTTAGTACATTATTACCTGTAATTTCTTTGTCTATTATGCCTTTTTTTTATTCGACTTTGATAAATCACAAATAAATTTAACAAACTTATTTGTGTCAGCTTATTGGGTGTAATGAAATCACTTAAGAATATTTCTTAATTTTACATTTGGCTTATTAAAGGTTCTTTTTGTTTTTTCTATATTCTGTCTTTTGTGAGATTTGATACGTTTGATAACGATCTTTCAAAGATTTTAAGTTTCGAGATTTTATGTTGCTACTTGTAATTGAAAAAAAAAATAAACAAACAAAGGAATAATAACGGTTTGTAAACTTGCTCGCTAAAGATAAATTTAAGAATTTTATGTTGTTCTGTAATGTTCATTACTGTTTTTTTTTATATTATGGGCAGATATGTGTTCCAAAATAGTTGTCAACAATGTGCAATGTTTGTATTGATTTGCATTAAGTTCACAAACATTGAAACCTTTGCTTTCTATTATTGTCTACAGCGTCCGGGTTGATAATACTCACTTTATTCGCATTATTAAATTTCTTTTACTAGATACTAGAACTTATATATAAACTATAACTTATTTGGTTTGAAATGTTAACCGTATTTTCTATATTTACGTCATATGGGTTTATGAGTCCAACGTAATTATGATTAGTTATTTTAGAGTGCGGAATAAAAAAAAAGCAAGCCGGCTTTTGCGAGAGTTCTTAGTGCAATGTTAGTAATAAATTTAATGTGGTAGCTAGGATAATCAACGTCTATTACGTGTAAGCGACGAGTTCTTCAGCCATATTATAATACTGAACAAAACATGTTTAAGATGAACTCCTGATCTTGTCGTCAGCGTCTTCGTCAGTTCCTAGCTGCGACGTTGATTTTTGTTATAACTTGGAAAAGGCATGATGGATAAATTTCTGGGTATGATATGAGGATGTAATAACCGTGGATGAAATCTATGGGAAATATCAGGAACAATATTTTAATATTTATAATAATAGTAATTATAAAAATATAATTTGTATTTAATCGAACATTTTATTGTTAGGGTAAAGAGGTTCAGATTTAACACTTCACACACCGTTTGGTAGTGCAATGTTTTTATTTCACGTGTCGCTTTACTTTCTTTGACGCTTAGGGCGCCTTGAAATTAAACGCTTGTAGAAGCGCTGCAATGGCGCGCCACCCACTACTAATTTTCATACAATATTTAGAAGCACTGCGCTTCTACTAGCCCCTAATATGAAGGCGCCCTTAGTTGTACATTTAATAAAACGTGTGTATACTTTAAAGTTGTGATTTTTCACATTTTTCAACAATTTACGCCTTCTTTTAAGGTTCTCTTTTTGATGTCAGTAAATCTGGGCCACTTTTTGTGTCTATCGTCGTATCCCATTCAATTTGATCAAAAAATTATCGCGTACTGAGGTGAACACTCTACTCACGTAAAGGCCTTTGTGTGATGAAGGTGTTTATATAAAATTATTTCATTGTAACTTCGTGAACAATAGACAACTTGAAAATCAGTAAAATAATAAAAATTGTTTGGTCGCAGTCTGTCAAAAACAGCTACATCCACACGCTGTACGTAATCAAATCTAAAGATTCTAAGAAAATATTACAGTTAGAAGTATATCTATCCTCGTACATACCAGTGGAGATACGTTATGTAGTATGTGTATTACTTTTCCTTCTACAGTCACGAGTTGCGACATATAATGTTGATAATACACGCGTTGATAATTTGATTTAATTGAAAGCGAAATTTAATATTACCAAATAATTTATCCATTAATATAATCTGGTTTTGTGTCTATGTATAAGGTACTCTTTAGGGTAATATTATTAGATACTATTCTGGTCTTGGGTTTGATTTGAATTTTATTGTATATATTTTTTTGTATATTCTACTAAGGTATTAGTACTCTATAAATCTTCTTGAATAAGATTTTTTATTAAGGGTCGTTTTTAAAAACATCATTGTTGAAATCTTAAACTGGTGTTGTATTGTTCATAAAAAAAATTGTGTTTAATTACCAGAGTTATCTCTGCACTATTGTAATTTAGGTATTGTAAGTTGTATTTTTTTATTTATATTGGTGTTATATACATAGTTATTTGTACGGTACTAACGACTTATAGATTAAGGAACGGTACATTTTTTTTATTTAAGCACTAACAGGGCCTAAATAATAGCGAAAAGCGGAAATTACATTGCGAAAGCAATAACATAACTCAAAAAGTATTGTGTACTTTGATTTATTGAATACATGATAGCTGAACAGAGGAAAATAGGGTAAACTGAAGAGAGGCAAATTACACCCAGAGACGAGCGATGATGATTGGAAGTATAATAGAAGTACATAATTCATATTTCAAAGGTGTTTGACGAATTGCTATTAGTATGTCCCAAGTTTAGTGCGTTGTCAACGGGCAAACTCCTCGATCTATGAACCGTTGGTGCTGTAAAAGCTTGGACACGTTAGATGCGACCGCTCGCCATTTTACATAATTTCGAAGATGCTGTTTATTAAGAAATTAATGGCAACTTAAACATATATGTCAAAAGTGATAAAATGCTGCAATTTCAGGGTTCAGAAGCAATTTGTCGGCCTTAGTTCTTTCACCAACTTATATCAAGGGCGTAGCGCGTTTTCCAGTCAGTAATTTTATATTAAGTTACTAATCAATACCTTAAAAGTAGATATATCATAGCATGATATTATTTAAAAATAATATTATTAAATTTAAAGGGGTTGGCGACAGAGCCAGATTTCTGTGTTAATAGTGAATATATTATTATTTTCCGTTTCCATTTTTTGTTCTAATTAACTGCTACGAAATGGTCCATGTTGCTACTAATAAATTTTTATTTCATACAATTTCATTTGGTATATTAGTTGGCTAGTTACCATCAGTGCGTGTACATGTACACAATATAATAGACGTATAGTACTAACTAATCTTATTTCCGGAATTTATTGTTCCGTAATTCTGTGGATATTTTTATAGGTTTTTAGCAATATTGTAATGATTTGTAAACACATCGAAACGATGGTGACTATCGGGAGATTGGTTATACGTAAGGAATATTAGCCATTAGTATTTTATAGGTGATTACCAATGGTAGTTTTGTCCTACGATACAGTAAAACCATTCCGGAAATCGAAATTCGAAAAAGTAATTAGTATTTGGTGGTTTTAACAATTCTATGTCTCTCCTTGTAGCTATGTGTACATGTATGTGGAACACCTTTTTTCCGACCATTGGGGATTATCAATTGAGACGCGTGGCAAAATTTTAAAATTCAACTCTCGTAACAAAGTGGAACTTTGCAATCAGTATCTAATTACTTTAACTAAAGCAAAACATGCTTTTATGTAGTATTCCTTTTATTAGATGTTGATATTATCAACATATTGCAAATTGAGTGCGGCCAACATTACCGGGTGCTAAAAAATAATTTAATAAATCCCCTTTACAACTTTTTTATACTTGGTCTTATCATATACGCTACTTATATTATGTACTACGTAGACATAAAATCAATATTGTAATTTATTTCACTTTATGTTTCCATTCCTAAAAGTGCAAACTCTAAACTCAAATCATCTTACAAGGTAAGCAAATTATACTTGTAATCGTCATATTGATTAAACTCTACCTCATTCGTAAGGCAGATTCCACCGAGAAGAATGAGCACGATACTCTAGGTTTTGAAGGTTGAGTGATAATGCGACCAAGTTATATTTATTTTTTAAGATTAGATTGCCTATATTTTAAGTTTATTAACAATGTATTGCATTTTTACTGTCCACTCGACTTAAGGCACTGTAACTTTATGTACCGGAAATAAAATATCAATCACCAAACTTCTGCTTTTAATTTGTCGGGGAGGTTGGGAAGCAAAAGGTATGTATAAAAGCTCCGAATGACGTATCTACGTACAGCCGAAAGCCTTATTCCAGCGTAACCATGGTTGAATTTTTGAAATTTGATTAGTCCGGTAAAAAGTCGTCATTTAGCCTTTTTTTTAATCTCACCTGATGGAAAGTGACGATGAGGTCGACGATGGAGTATGCGCACCTAAATAATGCCTATTTACTCTCGCCTTGAAAAGACTCAAGTTATAACGTTCAGGGAACAAGTCAGCAGGAAGGGAATTCCACTCCATAACCATTCGCCATATAAGTGCGGAAGCGTAACGCTTCGTGCGAATCTTAGGAATATCTACAACTTAGGGGTGGAACCCAAGCCTACGCCTAGTCCCCCGGCGATGGAAGGGGGAAGGCGGAATTAAATCGTGTAATTCCATCACATCATCCGTTTATGTACTGCAGCACAACTACAATCAGCGTTAAACCATGGACGAGCTTGGGGTCCATTGGGTACATCAGAGTATGGTATGTAAGGCGCTCCGCAGATGGAGCAACTTTAGTTGACGCAATTGGCAACTTTTTACAAGTTTCCTTTAACGGTTGCCGGTTGTAGCAATTTTAAATACCCACGGTCAAGACTGGCGCTGCGGGGGACGAGGAGGGAGTGAAGTTGCTTCACGAGTTGCGGTTGCCGGTTGCGGAAACCGGCAACTGGAGACAACCGGTACAAATTTGCAAGTTTCTAGATGCGGCAATGAAGAATTTATTTAATCACGGATTTCGGTAATCGAAAACTGTGGTCGATTGCCGAAACTCTCGACTTAAAATGCTACGTCTGCGCAGTTTCTTGAAATTATATGAAAAACGTCATAAACAGCTAGTTGCGGATTGCCAGTTGCCGAAACTCGATGATCAAAGTTGTTCCATCTACAAGTGGCGGTACAAGTTAGCAGATAGATAAAAGTTAGGCCCTAGTGGTATGGCCCTGATCCACTAGGACCCTGATCGGGTGGGGAGTATACGGATACAGTTTTCACCAGACAATGGTCGGAAGTACCCAGTGGGGCCAATGGTCGGAAGTATTCACAACCACAGAGTATCAGTCCGTATCAGTTGTCAGCAGAAGGTCCAAGCAATTAGCCGCATGAGATTCAACATCAGGTATCCTGGTGGCGCCACTGACTAGCTGGGATAGGCTTAACGTTTTACGCAAGGATACGCGTCTCTCTCCCAGTGTGATCAGTCTTCTGGTATGGGAACAACCATTTTTGATGGTGTGCATTAAAGTCTCCTAGAATGACTAGCTATGCTGAATCTCATCAAACGTCTCAGATATTGGAATAGCTTGGTCGTCTCCTGATCTCCACTGTGCGATCGGTAAACACAGCAGTACACTATTTGTGTAACTCCTGTGTCTACCATAAGCCATAAAACAGAAAAACTCGTTGCCTCAAAGTTCTTGAGACGCTTGACACAGATGTCATCGCGAACGTACACACAGACAGAACCTGTGCTCCAAAGTATACCCGGGGTAGCTGAGGTACGCTGCGTCAGTCGGACATCTGATCTGCGTCTATGTTAGGAACAGCAGCTGCGGTTTGTCGGTTTCAAGATGGTAGTGGACCGAATCGAGATTTGAATGCAGACCTCGGATGTTAGTGACGTGCGCTTTTAGTGGGAGGACGTGCAACCGTTGTGTATACTTTTTCTTATTTTTGCTTTTCATGCTTGGTTTTGGAGAAGTGAATAGGCAGGAGGAAGGCAGTTGAACGAGGCACTGCGTCGTGTTCAACCAAGCAGCAAGATCACGCTGCCACACTAGGATACAATCGGTATGGAGACCGCGGGGACGCCCGAACCCCCCCGGAGATGGCCACCTGTACCTCCCTTCCGGTCTCCAACCGGCAAGGTGGAGCATTCCGGGATTTTTCGTCGGGTGGCGGGGCAGCCTTTCACGGGTGGCTTTCCCGCTACTTGGGCCCCCAACTTCCTACGTTCAGCCAGCGGTGCACCGTGCATCGGATCCCGCTAGCCTCCAGAACCGAGTGGTCAGTGTGGCAGTACAAGCTAGTTACAATTCGTCGTCAGACGCAATGCAACAGACCCTACCTCCTAATGG